CTCCAGTGATTATTCCAAAAAAAAAAATTAGCAACAAATTTCAGAGTATCACAACATGCGGTTTGTTTTCAGAATACGACAACAAGTATCCAATCTCATCAGCACCACCAAACGGAAGAAGAAAATGCTTATTACATGCATGATAAAATAATTAAAAACTCTTTCAACAGTCATACAATAATGACATATCATTATTCATACAATAATTATAAAATAATCCAACAAACATTTCATATTTATTGTTTTTAAAGTTTTAAACTAATATTAATGTTGTACTTCTTTTAATTTTTAATTTAGTTTGTTTTCTATTTTTTAAAATTAATTTTCATTATATTTTAAACTATGAGAACATAACTTTTTTAAGTAAACAAACAAAATTTCTATATATTCTTCTTCCCCACACAAATTTTCTCTCTCATCAACTTACAACAAAGTTTTGGAAACAAAAAAAAATGTGTGAAACATAGCCAGATGTCCAGCTAGCAACACAACACTACAGACTCAGCCAGATGGAATGCAACTTGTAAGCTCATCAGGCACAATTAAGCCGGGAGGTAAAAATAGCACTTCATGAAAACTCTGCACAGGGCAATTGACCAGAAATGAAAACTCAGTAAACAGGGACTCATTTGATCACTTTTATCTACATATCAAGCCATGACAAAGAATAAGGAGCTCAGGATGGATCAATGTAAATGTTCCCTCTCCTCACAAGACAACAGATTATGATGACCTACATATTCTTCACATCAAACCTAGCTGCAGCAGCTGCTATTACTACAACAAGCTCCATCAGCTCAAGACTGCTTCTCCTTGGAACCACCACGTCTGCAGCGGTGGAACCAGCTCGCACTCGCTGCCCCTTGACTTGAACTCTCGGCACGATCTGCATCTCCCTGGCCAGCCCTTCTACTTGAAGTCTGAACTGCAGGAGGAGGAGGATGCTGGCTCCTTCCTCCTCCTCCTTGTTGTTGTCGCTCAGGCTGTAGCAGATTCGGACCAATGCTAGTAGTAGCACCAGGAGGCACTGGGTAGAGGATGTCTTAGTGAGAGTACATGCGAACCAGGGTCACTCGGGGAGTTCCACGGGCAACGCAGTACATATCTTCGATCCCCCTAAACCGCGGGTTCGACGCTCGGGTGATCGACTGGAGTTCGGCAGCCATGAGATCTTTCTTGCGTCCATCAAGCGTGTCCTCCACTCGGACGGCCACCCCGAGTGCGCGCGACAGGGCGCTCATCGTAACGTGGTCCGCGTGCACACGGGGAGGAATAACCTGCGTCGAGCACCACTGCATATGCATCCAGAGCAAGAAATCAGTCAGGTCAAGAAGCGAGTGCCAAGAATAGTTGCATATATATATACTTGCATTGCCAGTTTCAAAACAGATACTAACATCTTCCAGACTGACACCTTCTCCAAGCCCCGTTACACGCTGTCCATACAACCCTTTGTGCGTGCATATCCAGATAGCTGCTGCTAACCTGAGGAAAGCAAAAACTGATACAGCAGGAATGCATGTCAGAATCATGAATTAGGATGAGACTGAAGGAACGCAGGCTCAAGGTGTTTCTCTCACTGTCATCTGTTGTATCATAACTGCTGAAGAGCTCGAGGAGAAGTTCTCCCCTGTCGTAGCAGAAGAAAGGTGCATGTTCAGTCATTCAGATGGGATGGGATGTATTTAGAAACAAGCCTTATGCAGGAATTTCAGAAAACCAAACATTTCAAAAACCTGATTGCGGATGTTGGCTGCTCCGACATGCACTTCAATTTCTTTATTTTCTCTATCAGCGTCTCAAATGCCTGCAAGAATCAATGATACAAAAAAATCATTAACATACAGATGGCATCTATCACCCAAAGAGTTTAACTAGCATGTTACAATGGTGCTTACAGAATGCTGATCATCAATAATCGGATATGAACAAACATGACTAGCATAACACGTCTGAGAAGCTTCCATAGTTAAAACAACAAGTGAGGAAGGCATTTCTGACTTAGGATCAGGTGCACACACCATGAAGGAGTATGTGTGCAACAGTTCAGTCTTCAATGTAAGAAACAGATAGTTATGTTTGTCTTCATTATAGTATTGTCCAACTGCAAACTTGAAAGGTTGAATATTTGTTACCATCAGGTAACTATACTTTCAAAAACTTATAATTATAACTAATATCAACAAGGTGTTGACTACGATGTCGTGCCACTATTGTGAAACAATGGTGCATCTCCTGCAAATGATAAAACAAAGAGAGTAAGACAATCGATCCAGCTTGGTTTGTACACTACAAATTCAAGGGAATGGTCCATTACACGAATATAGGGAAGGTGAGAGGTTACTTCGCATCTCCGGGAAAATTCAGAGGCCCATTGAAGATGTTCAGCCCGGGTAGCCAATTTTCTAACAGCATCAAGAAGGCGATCTTCCTCACGTGTGTCTACCCTATCAGCAACTTGCTCCTGTCATACATTGTCATAAGCAAAGAGAGTTACAACATTGAACACATCCTATGCTAGGGAGTAGGGAACAGGGAGGAGAACACTTACCAGGTAGGAAAACATGAAGCTCCTATAGAAACCCTCCCCATCTCTACGTACAGGTCTTAATTCTGAATAACGAGTGTCAAGATGCGCCAAATGCAAAGGAACATATCCATGCTGGAGAGCATTATGTATGTTCCCGAAATAATGAATGAAGGCTTTGTCAATAGGAACTTTCTGCACCTCACACACAAATAAGGGAATCAAAAAACAATGATCTGAACCAGAAAACAATATAACTAAAGAAATGTAACTTATGTGTTATGCTCCAGATTTTCGGTTCTGTACATTCTGGAAAATGCTTGAAAGCATTAAATGAAATAATCGCTTAATTTTATTGGTTGGCTGTTGTTTAGTCATAAAAGGAAGGATAGATAAACAAGATTTCCTAATTTCAGCAAAGATTACAGTTCCATAGGTCATCACAATCCAATCCTCTAGATGGCATGTAAAGCATAACTACAATCCAGAATTAACTTATGAGTTAGCATGCATACAAGAAGAGAGATTCTGCTGAACAATTAGCTGTACAAGAACTTGTGAGTTGTGAATATGCACAGTATCCTGAGATGATCTATGATCCTGACATTTCGTAATTCATACACTTCCATATTCAACATTTCAAAGGTTAAAACTTAAAAGGAGTCGAACCTTGTGACCCACATGAGGCGGCGATTTCGAAATTATTTCCTTAGAAGTTTGGTTGGGGTAGTTTGGTTGTTTTCCTTTTCTATCTGAAAGCTATTTACAAGAGAACAGGTTAAAATCATGTCTTACCAGACTTGGCAGCAACTTCGGAGAATTAATATGAAGATAAAAACATTTTAGGCTAGGATACAATGTTGAATAAGGAATACGAGATACTCCCTCCGTTTCACAATGTAAGTCATTCTAGCATTTTCCACATTCATATTGATGTTAATGCTAGATTCATTAACATCAATATGAATGTAGAAAATGTTAGAATGACTTACATTGTGAAACGGAGGAAGTAAATGATATTCTAAAAAAAAATGGAATATATGGAACTATTAAATAACATACTAGTAGGACTAGAAAATTAGTGCTTCAATAATTTTGCCAACTCTTGGCAATCATGCAAGTCTTCTGGGACAATTCTAGGCAGCAACTCAGCCGCTGAATCTTTTAGACCAAACATTAGAGTACGCTCAGCAAGTTTGCATATACGAAAAAACTCATACATCTGGCTTCAGGATTTCTTACGAAAATACCATAGTAGTCATAATATGGCCCAAAATTTCATCATATTTTTACAGTAAAGGAACTTGTGAATATACACGACATCATGTGGTATAGGATTCTGAATTTCTAATTCCGACATTTCATAATTTATTCGCCCATTTCCAACATTATCAAAGACAAAAAAGAGTCAAATCTGGTGATACGCATGAAGTGACAATTGTGACTACATTCTATTTGCAGAATTTCAATTGGACAACACGTTCACCTTCCTTTTATATCCAAAAGTTATTCCACAACAAAACATGTTAAAATTTTTAGGGAATGTAAAAAACATGTAAAAATTAATAGTAAATATTATCAAACTTAAACCCAATCCATGAAAGTGAGATTCAAGATTAAACAATTTACACTTGGAAACAAGGAAATTGGGGGTTTATGGAACTTTCCAAAACTGATTAGCAAGATCACAAAACTGGTGCTTCCGCTGTTTATCTACTCAGCCTTTGTAGCCAATTTCGGGTAGCAACCAGCCAAAGGTTGACTATTTTAGACCGAACAGTAGAACGTGCGAAGTGTTTTTGCATGCAAGTGAACTGTGATTTAGAGAAACCGAGCCACGTGATGCAATCCCAATTTCCGAATACACATCTGGATGAATCATTCGATGGCAATAAAAGAGAGAGCGCTACGCATCAGACGTACGATGCAAGACGAAAAATCGGACGTATCCATCAGCAGTTCGATCCGCGTGCGCACATCATCAGCCATCAAACATCATCAAGCATGCATGCATGCAAAAATATTTTAAACTATTTTTTCTCTTAAATTATTTATCCAAATCATGATCCGATTGCACCATTAAATTCATTGCAATTAAATCTTTAAAACAAGACCACACATGGATATATTCCGGTGAAAACTTTTTTAGCTTATTATTGAATTATTTTTAAATGTTGCACGTTGTTCCACCAAGTATATCGGAATTGTTTCACTAGGTAGATCAAAAATGTTTCAATCGTTTAAATCGGACGTTATTTCACCTTATATAAAAAAATGTTTCAGCAAATAGCGAAAGAATGTTTCAAGTCACTGCAACATTTGATCTATATAAAGTGAAACATTTTTGGTGGAACAAAAAATAAAACGAATTCTCTTATTAGATGATTTTCATAATATGTGGGTGATTTGTTGCAAAAGAATTTTTCAGTTCACTGCAACATTAGATCTATACATAAACATTGTGAGTACACTAAGTGAAACATTTTTAGTGTAATATTGTAAGTACACTAGTGGATACTTATTGAAACACTCAACCAACATATATGCAACATTTACAAATAAACCAGTGAAACACAATAAACTACTTACTGAAACATACAAATAGCACCATGAGATACATTAAAGAAAGATATATACATCGGGACACTAAATAAATATGTGCAACATAATAGAATTTCAGCTGAAACATCTAATTTTCATATGTGAAACATTAAGTTTAATTGGTTGAAACATATGTGTGTTTTTTTATTATAATATAGTCATGTGAGATCTTGTTGTAAAGATTTAATTGTAACGAATACAATGGTGTAATCGGATCGTAGATTGGATGAGTAATTTAGAAGAAAAATCATTTTTTCAAGTTTGCTAAAAGTGTGTTATGTACATACCAGTAACCTCGTGCCATCTCTCTTTCATGTATATTAATACCCAGAAAGGAAGCATACGTAACAGAGAGAGGATCTGACAAAGGCTGCATATAGCAAAATCATAGTAAGAGGTGTCCGATTTTTTTCTCAAGATCGGACGACCGGATTGAAGCATTTTCCCAATAAAAGCTCTTACATTGGGCTTCTTACCAAAATATCATGGTAAGCATGACATCACCGATAAATCCGCCACATTTTTATAGTCCGATCAAAATGTATCACATTAAACAGAAAATTTAATTATCGCAAGCAGAAACATTTATGTCTCAAAAATTTCGACGGAAAACAAGGAGGCCGTTCCCTGTATCAAAGTTCCACAGATGATAGAAAGAAGACCTTCTAGTAATTAGGAAGAGTTTACTCTCCATACAGAAAGCCGAATTGCTCACTAACATTTACTGATTGATTTCGACTCTATTCTAGGATGCCACATCATTTTAACCAAAGACATTTTCGCTAGAATACGACAGAAAATCGACCAAGATCTTCACATCGATAAATAGAAATCAAGAATGCAAAGATCCTAGTTCCACATTCCAACACACAAGCTGACACAAGAACCGCACCCCAAGACCTACGCAGGATGATCCCAAGATTTCACAGGAGCGAGACATGATCCAAGAATCCGACGTCCCCAGCACAAATGATGGCGCAAGAATGTCAAGAAAGCTTCTCCTTACCTTTTTCTTGGCGTAGCCATGAATCGCAAGAATGCTACTCCTGAGAAACTTCATCGGGGAATCGGACTTCTTCCTCCCCTCTTTCCTTGGCGCCTTCAGGGAAACCAAGAAATGCTCAAGAGAAAAAAAAAAAACAGACGCAAGCGAGATGACGGCACAAACAAAAGAACAATGCGGCACCTGTTCCCGATCATCAGGTGGTGCCGGAGAAGAAGAATCTTCGCCGATCTTCTTCTTCCCCTTCCGGTCGACCGCCGCAGCGGCGGAGCTCGATCTATCGGCGCCGCGGCCTCCATCTCCGGGCTGCTCACGTGCCCGTTCATGGGCGCGGCTCTGGACGGACGAGGGAGGGGGCGGCGGCGGCGGTGACGGCGGAGAGACATCGCCGGCGCCCTCGGGTGGCGCGGGGATCGAAGCATCGGCGGCGGCGGCGGCGGCGGCGCTGGAAGTGGACTCCTGAGGCCCATGGACCGGCCCCTCCTGGTCTTTTGCTGGGCCGGACGTGGACGCCATGGTGGCGCGCGGGAAAAAGCTTAGCGGGGGGAGAGCGGTGGGGGCTGATTTGCTAATCCCTCTGATGCGAGGGGGCGAAAGAGAAATGTGCGAAGGGTGTGGCTGTTAATTCCAGAAAGGGAGGAGGCTATTTATAAAGGTGGAAGTAATTGGCGGTTACCGAGAGGGGACGTGGCCTTTTTCTCCAGTTTGGGTTTTTTTTTTGGCGTAATAAACCGAAAATGATTAGAGTCGGGCGACCGGCGCGGGGGAGCCAGATCGGGCGCTCCCCCGTGCGCCCCTCCCCTCACGTGCACACCTATTGGACTCACCCACTTCTCTCTCCCATTTTTTCACGAAAGATGTTTCACCTAGTGTATTTATAATGTTTCACTAATTATAGATATAATGTTGTAGTGAACTAAAATATTTTTTTCAACAAAAAACCCACATATTTTGAAAACTCTCTATTAAGGGAATTTAGTTTATTTTTTGTTCTACAAAAAATGTTATACCTAGTGTACTCATAATGTTTCACTATGTATAGATCTTAATGTTGCAGTGAATGAAACATTCCATTGCAACAAAAAAACCCACATATTTTGGAAACACCCTATTAAGGGAATTTTGTTTATTTTTTTGTTCCACCGACAAATGTTTCACCTAGTGTACTAACAATGTTTCATTGTGTACAGATCTAATGTTGCAGTGAACTGAAACATTTTTTCGCTATTTGCTGAAACATTGTTTTTATATAAGGTGAAACAACACTCGATTTAAACGAGTGAAACAATTCCGATATACCCGGTGGAACATCGTACAATATTTAAAAATAATTTAATAATAAGCTAAATTTTTTTTCGTCTGAATATATCCATGTGTGGTCTTGTTTTGAAGATTTAATTGCAACGAATTTAATGGTGCAATCAGATCATGATTTGGATAAGTAATTTAAGAGAAAAATCAGTTTAAAGTAATTTTGCACGTAAATCGGACGCTGACATCAGCGTCCGATTTTACTCCCAACCGATCGGGCGCCCGAGCCGTAGGTTCGTCCGTAATAAACCGTACACATTGAAGACGAGTAAAATGTCACTTTTCCAGAAAAAAATCGTTCATCTTTTTTAACTGAGGTATGTAACAGTTGCTATAAAATATATATCTGCATATCAAAATATCTCAAATTTGTTTTTCATAAAGTATCTTAAAATTCGAAGCTCCCATTTCCTAGTGGCAGAACATGCATTTTTACTAGATTTATAGAACCCCATAAGATATACTCACACCATTTTTTAATATATGACACCATTAACTTTTTAACAAATATGTTACGTTTGATCCTTCGTTTTATTTAAATTTTTGTGTAAATATAAAAAAAATTTAAGTCATTTGATGATAAATCAAGTCACAATAAAATAAATGATAATTACCTTTTTTATAATAAGTTGAATGGTCAAACGTATTTTAAAAAATCGATGGCTTCATATTTTCTATATATTAGAAAATGGATGGAGTATATAACACAAATCATAGGTTTGCAAGTTGTTTAAAAGTGTGTTGGGTTAGGGGGGATTTTTTTTTTTTTTATAAAACCCCAAGTAGGAAGCCAACGAGGTGGCAGGGCGCGATGGCATCGGGCCCCCTGTGCAGACGTAGTAGAGGAGCTTGGACGTGGAGGCACGCAGCGGTTGAGCATGGCGGCGTCAGTTAGGATGATGATCTCGAGCAGGAGCTCAAGAGGCAGTTGCTGCCACGTCGGCGGCGGCACGCTTTGAATTGTTGGACAGGTGTAACTCGGTCGTTGTGCTTGATTGCTGGCATTGTATAGATAGATGGAGATGGGTGGGTCTTGGACCGTGATAGTATGGGCCTAAATGCACCGCGACTCTCATCTGGGCCGGCATGCTTTGCATGTTTAGTTTCACGCATGTGGACTTGATGCCTCGTTATTAGATTAGTTATTGAAGAAGTACATTTCTAGCCCCTCAACCACAAAACTAGATATATATAGTGTATCCCAACTTTTAAAACCAGCGTCAATCAACCTAGATGGTTTAGATGACATTTTCGTCCTACGTAGTGTCCCACGGCACGTTGACTTGATCTTCCTCCCATACGATGCCTATGTACAAGTTTATATGGCATAACAAATTAGGAAAAAGAAAAAAAAAGTGTGGAAAGCACATGTCATTATAACATCATTTCCTCTACCCCCATCTCTTCTTCTCTCCCCGTCAGTGCGGTGGATCAAAGGTGTGAGGGAGGTAGGAGGGTCCAATGGCGGGCATCGACAAGGGAGCATCGAAGGGGAAGAAGCGTTGGTGCAGCGCAATGCGTACCACAACGTCGTCGATGGTCTGGCCGTGAGGGCTAGCAAGCGAGCTGAGATAAGAGGTTTGTGAGAAGACCGTGGCGGAGCGGTCGAGCTATTGCAACGGTGATTCTTTGAGCTGCGAACGTTCGCTGGCGGCGCACGAGCGGCAGCTAACAATTCTTCTTCCTTTGTCCCAAACTCCATTGCTACTCTTTTATTCATATATACTGACGCAGGTGACGTACACTCTACACATGTAAATAATAGCTTACAAATTACAACACCGAGGAGGAGGGATATTACTGAGAGCCATAGAGGAATGAGAAGAAGACGAAAGTAAGTACCGTAGATTAATGAGGGTGTAAGTGGCTAATCCAGGAACCTACTTATAAATTAAATAAATAAACATTTAATTTATAAATGGATTCGCGGGTTAGCCACCTACACCTTTACCTTAACCTTAGATACCACCGGTACAGCGCAACGCTCAAAAGTGAAGACTCCTCGAAGGTTGGAACCACACAATACACGACGCCCACGCGTACGCAGTAGAGAGGAGGATAGAGCTAGCTCGCTCTGGTCAACACGTGCACGTCCATGGCACCGGCCGGTCATGGCGAGCGGCACTGGAGAACAGTGGGCGGGTGGAAGCTCTGCGCCCTGAGTTGCTCGTAGAACATGTTGATGAACTCCTCCGCCCTGTAGTCCACGTCGATCAGCTCCCCGCCGCCGCACTCCCACGCGCCGTACTGATCAACCTCCTCGTCTTCTTCCTCCTCCTCCTGGTCCGCCGCCTCTGTCGCCGACGGCCCGCAGCCGCAGGGGGACCGGAGCGCGCCGAAGCAGGAGGCGGCGCCCGCGCGGCGCTTCAGCCGTGACCGCAGCCTCCTCGCCGCGAGGAACGCCGGGCTGGGGCTGTTGCTGCACGAGAACTCGCGCTCCGCCAGCGCGCACGGCGGCCACGGCGCCGTGGCGAGGCATGGCTTGCCGCCGCCGCCGGATGACAGGAGCAGGGCGGCGAGGGACCTCCTGGCCACCCTGCCGAGGAACCGGCCCCGCTTCGTGAGGAGGTACTTGAGGTAGTCGCCGGCGAGGGCGAGGAGGCTGCACAGCCGCCTCCTCGCCGCCGCCGCTGCTGCGCTGGCGGTGCGGCGCCGGCAACGCCTAGCCTCCATGGCGCGTGCGTGCTGCCGCTGGCTGGGAATGTAACCTGCTAGGGTTTTAGCGGAGCTAAGCCTACATGGATGGGAGTGAGAAGAGCATGAGGAATCTATGTCCTGAGACTGTACTTGGTCAAGCTCAATCTCCTTATATAGCTCTTCGATTTGGTCGTCTAGAGAGAATGCTAGAGAGAGAGAGTATTGAGATGAAAGTCATAGGTGACACAAGGGAGGGTTGCATGATTTCGGGGCAAGAAAGGTTTGGTGAAACTGGGAAGCAAGCTGGCCACACGAATTAGCTTGGCTAGGTAACTTGTTCCTGGAGGTGATAGTGCATAGCGCGATCGCATTTGCTTTTCATATTTGTTTTATGCATGATGCCTATGAAACTATTCTAAACTCTCGAGGGGATATCCACTCGTTGTTTATGTGTCACATAAATAGTTGTGAAGATGTATTAATATATTATGTATCACTACATAAACATGTACTTAAAATTTAACTTCTACGTGTCGCAACAAAAAGGCAAATTAAACTATAACTAGTTATCGCATATTCACAATCAATTTTGTTTTTCTCGTTGCAACATGTACATCTGAATTTTTAGTTGCGTGTTTGTGGAGCGATATATCACATGTTAATACATCTTCTCATTTTTTTTCACAACTATTTAAGTGGCGTGCAAGCAACGAGGGGACGTTCCTTCGAGAGTTTAAAATCCACTCTCCATGATGCTTCCAACTCTGAGCCAAAAAAAAAGGTAAAGAGTATGGCCGGTCCTTAAACTTATTCGACCATATTATCTAGATTTCTTTAATCTCAAAATACAGATCTAGGTTCCAAACTTATTAAAGTGTGTAACTCTGGTCTCAAATTGACACGAGTTCTTTGGGATCCTACGTGGCATTGATTAGCATAATCACTAATCCGACATATCTCTCTCACGCTCAATCACTCGGGCATTCGATGCAACCGTCACCGTTTCCCCCTACCCTAGCGCTCCGCCTTTGCCTCCTCGTGCCACCGAAAAGAGCCAACAACGACAGTGAGGCCTCTTCGACTGTCCCCTTCCCCTCCATCTTTTTGTCTTTCATCGTCCTTCCTAAGCCAAGTGTGCGAGGTGACACCACCTTCCCTCTCATTGGTGTTGAGTTGTGATCCAAATTCATTTGCACTTAATAAAGGCCAGCTTCTGCCTCCGCTCCACTACGGCAGAAGCTGGCCTTTATTAAATGCAAATGAATTTGGATCACAACTCAACAATTGGCCACTCCTACCTCCAACACCGGCACTCCTCTATCCCCACATCGCTTCGCCATTATGTCCTATCCACTGTTGGTACTATTCCCTCCATGGTCATCCGGGCTTCTAAGCCTTGGAAAACCCAACGTACGCTTCCCCCTCCCACCTTAATCCTAACCTTGAACCCTAACTAGCTAGGGCGTCGTTGCTGTCTCTGTCGTTGGAGTTTGTCAGGGTTGCCAGAAATGAAGGGAAAGTTTACCAGACCATGAATCGCGCAACAAATCTAAGCTAGGTTGAAAATTTGCAAGATTGTACCCTTGATTTTCTACCGAATGTGTGCATGGTTTAGCAATTAAAAAATAATTAACCTGCCCAGAGCGAAAGCATGAGCAGATATGGATTTACGTCTAGTTTGTATGATCGAAATGTATATGACTATGGCATGAATAAGAAAAATCAGCTATGTTTTCTAGAAAGAAAAATTGTAGTCATGGCACACGCGGTTGGTTTTCTTTTAAGAAAACAAGTGATCGTGAAAAAAAAAGGCTTGGTCATCACGATTACGAGTACTTGCACGTACTGCATCAATTTCGCACCCAAGTAAAAGCAAAACCACACTTGTCAGTAGATACCGGTGCACACCGAAAAAGGGATCACACACACAAAAACATATTCTCGTTGGCCCACAGCTAAGCAAAGCAATTAAGCTAGCTAGCTATTTTATTTTTAAAAAAAAAACTATTAAGCTATAGCTAACTATATATGCCCATTTGCTTGAGATGGACAGAGAGAATTGAAGTTACTTGAGCAGAAGATGCTGGAGAACGGCCTGAAGACCAGGAGGCCTCGCTCAAAAGCTAGCGAGTAGCCGCATATCGACCCATTCTATGCGAATTGCATGCAGCTGTGTTCGGGTTGCTTTCCCCGGCCTGCTTCTACTAATTAATTGCTTGGTTTCACCGCAACCCAAAGCTAAATTACGCGCCATATATGATTACATGTATACTTTTTTTTTTTTTTGCTTTTTCTCCTGATCGATCGATCAGCGTGTAGGGTTTCTGACCCTTACCTAAATTACTCCGCGTGATATGATATCCATCAACATATGAAATTCGTCGTACGTATGTACTAATATGATCTACTTCCTCTATTTCAGATTATAAGACTTTCTAATATTACCCACATTTATTATATATGTTAATGAATCTAGACATATATGTGTGTTTACATTCATTAACATCTATATAAGTATGGGCAATGCTAGAAAATCTTATAACCTGTAGCTAGTTAATTTTTTTCCCTCTCTCTAGCTCTTTTCCTCAGTGTCATTGTGCATGTTGATGAAGTTAGCCAAGACAGCACAACTAGACAGCTAGAATGCATTTCGATTGATTGTGTAGGCTCTGAAGATTAGCTTTCGAATTAAATTTGAATAATGGTGAGTTTGTCCTAGCTAGAACCATTCAATTGATCATCACTTCATCAGTTATTATTGTTTTGGGGACTGAATTTTTTTCTCATGTGTGCAAAACAGCCAGCAAATTCTGAAACCAAGGGGTGACTCGCCCACTGTTTTTTGTACTGCCTGGATCAGTGGATTTTACCAGCAGTTCTGAAGCGCCTCTGTTTCACGAAGGAATAAGTTCATTTGGGGTCCCTTAACTTGTCAACGAATCTGATTTTCGTCCTTCAACCAAAAAACCAGATACAACGGATCCCTCAACTGTCAAAACCGATACAATATAGGTCCCATAGCGGTTTGCACAGTGGTTTTAGCTGACATGGTGTCTACGTGGCTAAATTGACTCGGTCTTCATCTGACGTGGCATTGATGTGGCATTGACGTGGCAATTTGATTTAAAAAACAATAAAAACTGTGACCCCATGGTTTTTATTATTTTTTTCAAGATCAAATTGCCATGTGGGACGAATACCTAGTCAAAGGAGCCATGTAGGCGCCACGTCAGCCAAAACCGCCTTGGGACTTATGTTACACCGGTTTTGATAGTTGAGGGACCTATTGTATCTGGTTTTTTTTGAATGACAAAAAAAATCGGATTCGTTAACAAGTTTAGGGACCTCATATGAACTTAGTCCTTTCACAAATCCAGCGATTCCGTGGTCTGCACTCTATTAGCTGCTGCAGCCCATCTCACAATTTTCTTTTGTGACAGGCGAGGGCATTTTTGCTCCCTCCCGTAGGCTCATTTTCCTTCAGAGCTTTCCTTTAGCCGCCCTTCTGGCTAATACTCCTATCTAAATTTAGGACAACTGGACAAGCACGATTTACAACCAAAAGAATTCGGCATTCATGTGGTTCATTTCGCCTTTCATTTTTGTTCCTTCTTATTTAGTTATATAGAAAGTAAAACCAGACATCTTCACCTCCAACTTTACAAACCGGACAAATAACCTCCAGCTCAATCCACGGTGGTTTTGACCCTACGTAGCAGTCCAGTCAGTAATTCATTTATATAAAAAAACAGATGGACCCCACCTATCAGTTTCTCTCTCTCTTCTATCTCTTTCGCAATCTCTCACTCTCTCTTCTCCATCACAGGGCGACGGCGGAGGCATCGGCGAGGCAAGGCGAGCGCGGTGGCGGTAGCGGCGGCGGCAAGGCGAGCACGGCGGCAGACCAAGGCGAGGCGGCAGCTGCTTAGTACTCCTCCGATTCTTGATGCATGGTTTCGTACAGCGGGTGGGATTTTTGCGGGGGCTAGTGGTTGGTTTCTGTCTGGTGGTGTGGCCGTGCACGCGCCCGCTCGCGCGCGGTGTTCTTGGCGAATTGCTTAACTTGAGCTTGCTCGCCCTGCTGCATTGGGGAGTTCTTTTCTTTTTACTGGGTTCTTGTTTGTGCAGGGATCGACCGGGGGGGAGGGGGTTTGATGGCTTGGTTTCGCGAATGTTCGTCGCGAGGTGCGCGTGGCTCCTGTTTTGCTTGCGAGACTTTATCGTTTTCTTCGTTGCACGCTCGCCTCGCCGCCGCCTCGCCTTGCCTCCTCCGCCGCCGCGCTCGCGTCGCCTAGCCGCTGCCTCCACCGCCGCCCTGTGATGGAGAAGAAAGAGAATGAGATCGGGAAAGAGATAGAAGAGAGAGAAACTGACAGGTGGGGCTCACCCTATTTTTTTTATAAATAAATTGCTGACTGGACTGTCACGTAGGATCAAAATCACTGCGGATTGAGCCGGGGGGTGGAGGGTGGGGGCTATTTGTCTGATTTACAAAGTTGAGGGTGAAGGATGTCCAATTTTGTGATTCAGGGGGTAATTCAGTCTACCGTGATTGTCCAGGGGGTAATTTATACCTTTTCCTACAGAAAATACATGCATACATACAACACATAACACTCGCATGTCCGTGGCCACAATGCTCACATAACATACCTTGAAAGTGAGATGGAGACCAATGGTACAATATGCTAGCTATCACGATAGTACAAATATACTATCGTATCGAATTATTTTTGGCATACTCGTGAGCATAGTAATAAAGTAAACGAAGCAACCAAAATATAATTTATATATAAAACTTTTAAGGTGGCAAATGGATTTTGATGTAAAAATTGAAATCAACGGCTCCCATCGGATGGCCTAATCAGTCAAATAAAAAACCAAATTTTAAATTTTCAAACTTAATTTTAAGATTGATTTTATGATATTTTCAACATAGTTTCTTTTTTCAGCATATATATATATATATATATATATATATATATATATATATATATATATATATATGAAGCCCATATACTACTACCGGGAGTAGCTACTCTTGTATTAGCCATCCGACACCTGTCCTCCTCTAATTGGGTTGCGGGTCTCATCCCACTCACGGTTAGAGAGAAAGCATCCACTAACCAAGCCATGCAGAAATTTTTTTTTTGGGAAAAATCGGTTTATGATCTTCATGCAAGGTCGTTTGAATGTTCTGCATGCAAGGCTTGATAATCCGCGCACATGCAAGGCCGTGTGAACAGGGGAGTCGTTAGTGTTGTGGTTGTTATCTAGTCATCTATTTAAGACAGCGGCCAGGTAGGGTAGAAGAGTAGGTTGGGAGCAGAAGCATATTGAACAGTTCTGCAGAAATTAGATGGAGCAGAATCCTTTGGTGGTAGATGGTAGAACCTCGTCTCCGAGTTCTGTTGCCTCTCCTTCCACGGAGGCAGAAGGTGAAACCTCATCGATGTGTGATGTCGCTGAGCAGAAGCCGGTGTTAGCCGTAGGCGTGTCGTCGCCAGTGAGTTCTGGCGAGCACCACAAGCCGACGGTGGAAGAAGACAGAACCGTGTCGGCGAGTGGAGACGTGCAGCAGATTCCGGCGGTGGTCGCCGGTGGTTCCTTGCCGGCGAGTTCTTTTGCGCAGCAGAAGAGGGAGGTGCTGGAAGACGGAAAACTGACGAAGGGATGCGAGTGTGTGCAGAACTCATCCACTGATTGCTTTCTGTTCTCTTGATAATTTTCCTCTTGTTTGTCTGTTTGGTTCTTACTGTGTGTTGTGTATTCTTTGGTCAGGACTGGTTTTGTCTGTTGCATGGCTACAGCAGACCGAAGTGAAGCGATGAATCGCTCTCTCCAGAAGTACAACATCCATTTGGAGAGAAGTCATCCTCTTTCCACAACAAATCGTACAAAGAGATGCGCTTGGTGTTCGCTTCGTGATATTCGCGCAGCTTGCAACATGAATTTCAGAAGCGGTGGAGAACCCCGGTGCGACAGAAGCTGTTCCGAAAATGTGTCGAAGGAGAACATGTAGCCAGCCGTTTAGTGAACAGAAAAATTGGAATAATAGCTTGCTTTCTGCAAGACCGTAGTTTAGTCGTTCAAACTGTCTCGTTTTGTATGGTAATTTCTATGATAGAGAAGCGAGTATTATTTGATTTTAGATTTATGTAACTTATGCGTGTCAGTCAGTGAAATGATAATAAGAAATTTTCCTTACTTTTTGCTATTTTAGCTGATTGTGTTTTGCAAATTCCGTGTTGTCATCTTTATCGCGAACGCTGGACAAGAAGATCTTGTACGTGCAGAATTTGTGCAGAAGAATAGAGCAGAAGCCGGAAATAGTTAATGTGAGTGAAGAGTTGCGTTGCCTCAATTTTTTCTAGTTGCTATCTTCGCGGCGGCATGATCTCTTCAGAATTAGTTTGTTTTCGTAGTGGCAGACTATCCGTGGTCCACGTACGAGCCTTGTTTTTTGGGAGGTAGTTGAGCAGCTGGTGGAAAATAATTCTGAAAATAATTGTCAGTATATATCCAACCATCTGAAAACGGGGAGGCACTTCTGCAAATTCTTTTTCACTGGAAGGATACCAGCCGGACTCCGTGCTGGAGAGAAGAAAAATTTTCGAAGCTAGTCCAATATGGACTCAGAAAACTCGACTGAGCGAGGTGATGAGGATCGTAGTGGCCAAACCATGGACATTGTTCCGATGGAAAGGTAATGGTTTTCTTCTCTCTGGGATTATAATATACATAAACCCTTTCATAATTGTTTGTTTCATTCTTACACTGTGATACTAGGATCGTAGTTGAGGAGGTGGAAGATAGTGTTCTGCTGCCTAGTTTACTTTCAGACCCAACCATTCTGGTGCCGAAGATTGGGCAGACCTTTGATGAGGACTCTGATGGCTATGCGTTCTACAATTTGTACGCTAGGTTCACTGGTTTTGGTATAAGGAGATCTAAGAACAGGTTCAAAGATGGAGGTGTCAAGTCCATGCAGGAGTTCTGCTGTATTCGTGAGGTAAAATCATTGCAGTTTTTTAGGGAACTCCATGGTTTCGTAATTTCATTGGATTTTGTAGTTTGCAGAATGTCCTATGTAGGAACATTAATTGATAGGTTTTCGCATAACAAGGTGTTCCCGTAATTTATGTAGGGTAGGGATAAAACCGTAACTGGGCCGCCGACTAGGATAGGCTGCAAGGCTATGGTCAGGTTAAATCGTTCCTCTGAAAGACAAAAGTGGAGAGTTTCTGCATTTGTTAGTGAGCATAACCATGGTATGAAACGGGACATACAGCATACTAAGCACTTCAGGTCTCATAATTTCATTGATGAAGGGACAAAGAGGAATATTAAGGAAATGATGGATAATGGGATGACACCTACTGCTATGTATGGATTAGTTGCTGGAATGCATGGAGGACCGTCTTTAACTCCCTTCACAAGGAGGGCTCTAACAAGAATGGCATATGCCATCAAAAGGGATGAGTGTAGCAAAGATGTGCAGAAGACATTGAACTTTTTTAGGGAAATGCAATGCCGTAGTAAGAATTTCTTTTACACCATACAGATCGATGGTGCTTCAAGGATTAAAAATATATTTTGGTGTCATTCACTGTCCAGATTAAGTTTTGACTAGTTTGGGGATGCAATCACTTTCGATACTACATATCAAACTAATAGGTACAACATGCCATTTGGGATTTTTGTCAGTGTAAATAACCATTTTCAAACAGCAATTTTTGGTTGTGCCTTGTTGAGGGAGGAGACAGTTGAAGCGTTTAAGTGGCTTTTTGAGACATTTACTGAGGCTATGCATGGGAAGAGACCTTCTGCAATTCTAACAGGTGTGTTCTCTTCTGGGTTGTTCAGTGTTTTGTCTCATGTTCTTTGCTGCAGTATGTAATCTCGATTGGTTGTGATCTTCTTTGTAGATAACTGTCATCAAATGGAGGTGGCGATCAAAGCAGTTTGGCCAGAAACTGTCCATAGAGTTTGCAAGTGGCATGTACTGAAGAATGCTAAGGAGAACTTGGGGAACATTTACAGTAAAAGAAGCAAGTTCAAAGAGGAGTTCCACCGGGTGTTAAATGAACCCCAAACAGAGGCAGAGTTTGAGAAGGCCTGGAAAGATTTAATGGAGCAGTATAATCTCGAGTCTAGCGTGTATTTGCGCAGGATGTGGGGCATAAGGAAACGATGGGCTCCAGCTTACTTCAGGGAATTGTTTTTTGCAAAGATGTCAACTACTCAAAGAAGTGAGAGCATGAATCATGTTCTGAAAAAGTATGTAAAACCATCATCTTCACTAAATGGATTTGCAAAGAGGTATGAGAATTTCTACAATGATAGGATTGAAGCGGAAGACGCTGAGGAGCATGACACATATAATGTATGTTTCTTTTATGTTTTCTACATGATATATCGGTGTTCTGTAATTTTTCTTCGTTGTGTTCTAATCTGCTTGTCTTTTTTTATGGAATTTCAGGAGAAGGTTTCAACATTAACTAGCTCGCCAATCAAGAAACATGCATCTCAGGTGTACACTAGGGGTGCCTTTTCTAGGTTCAAGGAGCAATTCAAGCTCAGCTTTTCATATATGGTTAATCAAACTTTGGATCAGCATGTTCTGCAGCTAGTACATATTGGTGATGACACCTTGCAAAGTTGGGGCAGTAAAGTTTTTGAGGTTCATGTTAATATGACAGAACAGGAGTTGTCATGTGGATGCAAGCTTTTTGAACACTTGGGAATTATATGCTCCCATATTATCAGAGTATGTTCGGTTATTAAGCATTCTTGTATCGCTGTTGTGTTTTTCTGTGTTAATGCATTTTGTTTTTACAGGTTTTGGTACAGTACGGTTTCACGGAAATACCGAAGAAATACATCCTGAAGAGGTGGACAAAGGATGCTAGGGATTGTATCCCAAAGCACTTGGAGGAGTCTTACTTGAATGATAAGGAGGCAGCAGCGTCGAGAACTTATCGCAACACCCTATTGCACAAGTCTATACTTGATTTGGTTAGGCTTGGTGGTACTAGTGCAGAAACATATGAGAAGACAGTGGAAGTTTTGACAAAGCTGGTGGGAGAACTTAAGGTCATGTCTAATTCGCAAGAAGCAAACAACAATGAAATTCGTCGCAGAGGAAGAACACTTGGGAAGAAACCTGCGGTTGAGAGTGATGACAGTTCTGACTCGAAGGATTCAATGTCTGATGGCATATGTGTAGGCGTTGAAGACGACGATGGAGAGGATGTTTCTGCTGACGAGGATTTCGTTGTTGAGGACATGATTGATGTAAACGAAGAAGACATACTCCCTCCAGAGGTTAGAAGAAGTCATGGACGGCCGAGGAGTACCAGGCTCATGTCAAAGGGAGAGACCTCTAGCAAGGCAAAGAAGAAGAAAGTTGGTGAGAGTACCTCCAACGACGAGTCAATGAATCATGCTAAAGAAAGAAAACAACCAACAAAGCAGATTAGGTACTGCAAGCTTTGTGGTGGTCATGGTCACTATAGGAATACATGTGGTCGCAAGTCTAGTTATGAGAGGAAGAAGTGAGTGATTTTTCTCTTTCCAATGGATTTTAGCAGAACATGGGGCCTATTGTAATATATTTCGTTAGCAGAACATGTAGAGGTTATGTTTAATTGGATTTTACAAACACTGTTTGCATTTTACGAACTCTAATCGTGGTGGAAATAGAACACTTTGATCTTCTTGTTCTGCACCCGGAGCAGAGCAATTTCTTCTGTTTGGTTTGCAGCAGAACATTTCACGTACTTTCTGCTTGAGTTTGTTTCGAACGAATCATGGCAAAGCATGGCATGTTTTTCATCTTGTTCTGCACTAGTAGCAGAACATGTCTGTGTCACGTAGTGTATGTTTGATTTTGTTTCGGACGAATCATGGCAGAAGCTTAACATGTTTTTCATCATGTTCTGCACTAGTAGCAGAACATGACTTCTTTTTAGTTTGGTGGTGTTCATGGTCTGATTTGGAGCCAAGCAGGTTCTGCTCTCTTTTCGAAGGAGTGCAGAGCATGTAGTAGGATTGTTGATGTGCACACTGAGTTTCTAGATTGGTGAGAGCTGATCACGTGATGTATTGCAATTATAGATGTAATTCAATACTAGTACAGAAGTTGCTATATTAAATCAAGGGTTAATTTGATCCGTGCCACTGCAAATTTGGTTATTCAGAAAAATGCCATTACAATTTGTTTATTCGTAACCGTGCCATTGAAATTTTAAAAAAATTAGAACCGTGTCACTCCTGTTACCTTTTTTATCTATCCCCTCCTTTTCCATCTTCTCCGTCGCAGCGCACCACCGCCACCTCAGTCAGCCACCGCACGCGGCTGCCGCTGACAGCCTTGGTCGAGGAACCCCACGGCCTCCTCCACCGGCCTCACGGCCTCGTCCCCACGCACCACCGCCTCCTTGGCTCTAGCGCCGAGACCGACGCCGCCGGTGAGGTGTGGACGCGCAGATAGGCGGCGGGAGCAGGAGATGGGCATCGGCAGCGGCGGCGATTAAGCTCGGCGATGGACCATGCTGCGATCCATTCTCCGCCGGCGAGTTAATTGCACGAGTTAATTAGTTTCACAAAATTGATCTAGCTTCCATGCTACGATCCATTCTCCGCCGGCGAGCAGTCGGCAGCGGCGGCGGCGGTTTCGTCGTCTCCGCTTCCGCTCGCGGCGGCGTGAGCCGGACCATGTGTTCGTCGCCGGTGTACATGCGTACGCCACCTCGAGCGGCACAGGTGGTAGCCACTACTACTCCCGCTGCCTCCGTAGCTGCAGCTGCGACGAGCACAGCCGGCGCCGACGCCATCTCCACTTGGTGCTGGATGACTGGAAGGAGGGGTACAGCCTACACAAAGCTCGACTTCAGCCATGTCTCCGGCGACGACGCCACCAGTTGCGCCGATGTGTGAAGCCGCGCGGACGCCGTGCTTGCCGCCGCCGCCGCAGGTTGCGACAGAGCCGCCAATTTCTTCGATTCTCCTTTTCTCTTTCTCTTTTCTTCGATTTCTTCTTTCCTGGCTTGGCATGGCCGGCGGCGTGATGCGGACGAAGCTGGGCGACGATGGCGCAGCCCGACGAGGGCACGACGAGGTCGGGCGGCGCCACGACCTTGCGGTGGCCGGCGAGGTGTGGATGGCGGCGGGGTGTGGCCGCGCGGCCCTACGGTGGCCGGCGAGGAGCGGCGCAGCAAGCCGAGGACGGCTCGGCGCGGCAGCCCGAGGCCAACGTGCGGCGGAGGTGCGGCGGAGCTCAAGGCCCGAGGCCGAGGTGTGGTGGCTGATTGAGGCGGCGGCGGCGGCGATCCGTGCTGCGCGCTGTAACGGAGAAGACGGAAAAGGAGGGGAGTGGCACGGTTCTAATTTCTGCAAAACTTCAATGGCACGGTTACAAATAGGCAAATTGTAATGGCATTTTTCTGAATAGCCAAATTTACAGTGACATGGATCAAATTAACCCTTAAATGAACATGGATTTGATTTTGGTATACCCTGGATTTATGACGTTTGGAAGGATAATGACAGAATCCTTAATTTGTAAAAAGAATAGCTGGGTACATATAGCCTTGAATACAGTTATACCAGACATAAATTATTCTGAACTAAGAAATTTTCGAAAGAAAAATGCTGCAACTATTCTGGCTTGCTTGCATAACATGCTCATATCTTCTTAGATAACTTTAGGCCGTGAGTGACGAAGTCCGGCAGAATAGCCTCGTTTTTCTTGAATGACAGCAAGTTGGACAGAAACTCCTTTCGAAGATTTCCTTGATCCTGTTGTTATCACAGTTAATGAGGGGTTGACAAGACGAGTTCCATCCCAGTTTCTCATGTAGTATAGCACATGAAAGGCACAATCCAGCCTAGCATAATGTAAGTATAGTAATGCCCAAATTTGAGTAGAATGAAAATATTAATTTAGATCAAATCGGGATTATCAACTCGAACCTGTTATTTAAAGCTGGTATGGTCGAAGGGAACTCAGAAACCCAGTTTGGTATATCCTCGTCCCAATCCGGAAATGCAAGATTCATGCACTCCTTCAGAGCATTTGAAATGTGAATCTTTGTTTTGGAGTGTCTTTCTGCAGTATCCTCCGATCTTTTCGAGGCGTCTCTCAGTGGGTCGAGGATGCATAATTGTTTTTCCCCATATCAAATGCGTAAAGAGAATAGTGCAGAGGTTGAAGGAGTGGAATAAATATCTACAGAATAATGTTGAGAATGCAAAAGTTAGTGGCCTGCACATTTGCACTTGACGTAATTAATTTTTCAAGACGCTGAAAAATGACATACCAGGTGGCAACTTGGTAGGTCATATGGTATCAGGGAGTCATCTTTGAATGATGGTAGATGATCCTCTGGGTTCCATAGGTCATCACTAGCAGTTGCAAACATCTACAGGGCCATATTAAAATATTTAGACCTTTAAAATATGAATTAAAATAGTTGAGTGTAACTACAAGCACTTACTGCAAAATCCTGGTTTAAGAAATGTCTCCAGCCTACGAAATATGTCCCTCCAAATCTATGTATCTCATATGATGCCAAAACTTGAACTGCAACATTGAATGTTTCTTCTTGCATTTGAGTGTCTAGCCGAATAGCCTGCTGTATGTCATGTAGGCTTAATGACATAGGGACAGGTTGAGAGATGTGAACCCAAATTTTCCTGGTAAATGTGATATATGTATTATAAATGATGGTTGTACCAAAGAATGAAACATTTCGGATAGGTGGCTTACTTAACAGCTTCTTCATCAGTGATTGAAGTTACATAGGTGTATAAATCATCAAGTGCCTTCAAGTCATGTCTGACGAAAGAGTGTTGCTTGCTCAGAAATGGTGATTTCACCGAACGGCTTGGTTTAATAGACCTCTTTGGCCGATCGAATAGGATATCAGAAGGACCTCCGATAATTCTCCTCTTGGATTTAGGTGGGAACTTTGTACATGCGTACTCCTCACGCATGTAAATCCTCGCACCACTCGTCTCTTTTAGCAAAGAGTGCGGAGAGAAACTACTAAGTTTTGTTTGGCGGTAACCTGTTATGATTCAGAACAGTCAAACTAAGTAGTATCATGTGGTTGGTTATGAATGAAAATAAAAATTAGAAACAGGCCGGTGGGGATAATTACCGCTCTGAGAAAAGGGAGTTTTCTACACCGCATTATCCTCTCCAGCTTCGTCAGAGGCTTGTACTAACTTCGAGATTGCCTGATCTGGGGTATGTGCTTTGAGTTCTTGTGCTTTCTCAGAGTCTTCAACCACCTTGGAGATGTCATGACCTGGGGTACATGCCACCATGTTTGCATCTTCGATATCTTGTGTAATACCTAGATCAAAGCTTGGGGGCTCGATGTCCGTTCAGGTGTCGAAGCTTCGATTCACATGGGCAGCCTATGCACATGTATATTAACAATTATTATCGCAAATGGATTTTTTAATATGGAATAGATTAACAAACTTCATGAGATTGCACCTCTGTTGCACCCGTAGGATGGCCAAGATTGCATTTTTCAACATGTCGGTTACGCAGCTGAAACAAAAAAAAATCCAAAAGTCTGAACTTTCTGCATTCGGGAATTGTCAATATGAATATACTACTTGTAGGAGACTTGATTTTACCTTCATCTTTCCATACGCAGGGAAAGGTTTCCGGTTCTTGAGAATTACATCCCTGTCAATGAATTCTGCTATCATGGAGTCATTGTACACGCCAATCCTTGAAATGTTTTCATGCCCAGGAGTGTCCGTCCCAAAATCCAGATGGTGCAGATAAAAAAGCTGAGCAGTATAAATTATAGCATGTGAAAAGTTGATGCGAGTATAGCAGAAAGTAAAAGGCAAAGAATTCCAACGAATACTAGGATAATCTCACCTCAGGTAGTATAATGCAGCCATTGATGTAACCAATGCTTTTTCGATGGCGTATTTTGTCTTGCAGTGCTGCTGCTGCATCTTTAATCTCATGCAAAACAAATTCTGCCCAGTTGTACTTGTGAATATTTTCTACATCAACCAAAGCCTTCATATACCTTATAGATATGTGATTGTTAACAGATTGAGGAGCCAAGAATTTGGTTACAACGAAGATTATAAAAGCAGTCTTGAATACAATCTGTTCGTGAACAGTCATTGTCCTGGTAAATTTTTTCTCCAAAATCCTCTGAATCGTTGCAATTGTTATTCCGTCAAATGAATCTTTCTCAAAGATTTCACACATATAAGCCTTAACATCTTTTACCTCGTTTTTAATTGCAGGTAAAATCTGCTTCCGTCCACAAGGGATTCCCAAAAGTAAGCTGACATCCTCACAGGTCAAACAAATTTCATGTTTAGATCCAGCAAACAGATTACCTGATGATGGGTCTAGCTTGCACAGAATCCATGCTCCAAATTGCTTGTTCAGTTTAGTCAGTCTCATGGAAAGCAACCCGTCAAACCCCATTTGCCTCACTAGCTCTTTCTGCTGGTCACCAATATCTGAGAACAGATCTGAGAGAATAGCAGGAGTGCACCTGGTGTAAATTTTTTCTTGTACTACCTTTTTACCCTTGATGCCACTTGTTTTTTTGGAATTTGAGACTGCAATACCAGCTAGCTGCTTCCGCTGATACATCTTTCTTGCTCGAGCAGCATGGAGAGCTCTAGTGAGAACAGAACTAGAGCCACTACCACCTGAAACATTCGCACCTGCTGCAGGACTGCAAAGGTGCTGCAAATGCAAACCATTAACAAAATGAATTAGTAACAGATGGGATCAAGAAAAGACTCAATAGTAGGAAAAAAATCCATCCATGGCCGCCACGAGCTTCGACGGCGCTGTCGTCGGGGCGCTCGGCACGCACACTGTGTCGCGCAAGATTGGGGCGCTCAGCGTGTTGTTCATCGTCGCCATGGCCTCCACTGTACTCACCGGAAAAAAACAGATGAATACGCCAACAAACCTTGAAACGGGAGTTCTCCATGCTAGAGCTTTCAGCACAGCCGCCGGCGAGGCTACCAATCTGAGTTTAGTTGTGTTAAGAACTAACAAAACGCAGAGAACGATATTAGATTGATAATGTTCTGCTCGACGGGAGAATCATCCTGCTTTCTCGCTCTGGATAAGAAAACTCAAGTGCGAATAAACCACCCGGAAAAATCTCTGGTTAGCTCGTCTCCGAACAAATTTCTATCTACAACAAACTGATTACTCTTATTTCAAATTTCGAATCTGGTGCAGAAGAGAAACAACCTTCTGTTGATCACCGAGAAAAAATACGGGTAAAAAAAACCGGTGAAAATATTGGATTCATTAAACCCGTTAATAGTCATTACCATTATCAGGGCAAACGATTGAATTGAGGGTGGATAGGGAGGGAGTAGCACTCCCGGTAGTAGCATATAATTTTCATATATATATATATATATATATATATATATATATATATATATATATATATATATATATATATATATATATATATATATATAGTAAATTTGTTTGGTGCTCCATGGTGCCCGGGCACCATTGTTGAAATTGAGTATATACCTAATTCAAATGAGTATGAAACTTTTTCAATTACTTAGATATTAACATTAGCTACTTTACTAACTAGTTCAAAGCAAGTTTGAACTGAATTTGAACTTGTTTTTGTTAGATTTTGATTCTAGGTATATAGCATCCATACATATAATTAGTTAGGTATGTAATCATGGATTGTGAAATAAAGTTAAATTTGAGTTATTTTGTTGATAGGTATAGGTATGAATCGAGTTATTATAACTAGGTATATACTCACAATTTGAAAATTTTGAAAAATTTGAGTGATTTTGTGTATTTGATACCATGGTGCCCGGGCACCATGGTGCCCCATATGAGTGTCCTATATATATATATATATATATATATATATATATATATATATATATATTATACCTACAAATTCATTTTTATCCTCTAATATACCGAGCCAAACGATGGGGCCTAACAGTTTTTAAAATTTTAGATGTTGGTTATGGCTGATAAGCAAATAATCAAACGACGAGAGGGTTAGAATTAATACCGTAGTTACTAAAATATGTACTACAAATTGATGAATGGAAGCACCTAACTCAAGTCACCAAGAATCTTTGATCAGTATTCCAGTCCCGGTTTAACACTCTGTACTCGTGCGAGCCCGGTCGTTGGGGCCTTGACCTTGACGCCTAATATGGTGGGCGTAGGTTGTATTCTTCTTCTTTTTTAAAACCACGTAGGTTGTAGACAGAATCTCATATCGGAGAGGCAGCACTTTGTAGCCAATTTTTGCGTCAGAGTCGCTCACTCGTTTTGTCGTCAATATCACGAATCAAAGGTTGAATTTGAATTGTTATCATGTTATATAGTGTAAAGACAGAAATTTACCCCGTTCTTTCATTATCCATCGAATAATTTCGACAAACTATTTACTCCAAGGTTTATAACATATAATTAGCTTAGAAAACTTTGTTCTACTGGATTACTTATATTTTTTTTAAATATATTTGTTAATTTTATTTTTCAAAATATTTAATTTAGGAAATACATATTTAATATTCGATGAAATTCCAAAAAAAATTCTAAACATAATTACAATATAATTTTAGTGAATATGTAACCACACCCTTTGTTTTTATGCTCCTAGATTTTGTCGTTTTTTACTTTTAGCATGACATTTGACCATTTACCTTAAAAAGAGTATCATTTATTTATTTTGTTGTGACTTATTTTTTCATTATAAAAACTTTAAAAATGATTTATATTTTTCTATAATCACAATAGATTTTTTTGAATTAGACAATGGTCAAATGTTATATGTACTTAGAAAGTCAATAATGTCATCTATCTAAATAAAATAGATGCAGTATATAAAACTTACGATAACTCTGTGGGAGATGTATGCGCCCACAGTAGAGAGGCTGCATGATCGAGTATCGCCTACATGTGTCTGTGTTTTATGTTTAGGTCTATCTATATACCAAGTACCAATTGATTAGGAATACTGCCTAGAATTATGTGATTTTTGGATTGTTGGATTGCTTTTTAAGATTCGTGCACACATCCATAATCTTAACCCCTCCGTCCTTACTCTCAGCGCTGCCATCCTATATACTTGAATCCGCCACCATGCTCGAGCACTCAATACTCCACCGTCACCTTCCCAGCTTGCCGCCACTCAGCCTCACCAGCTAGCTGAAAGGTGCCGGCCAACAATGTCGGCGAGGTCTCCCTGACCGGACTTTCCCACCCCCAGTCATCTTCTCCTCCTCAAGCCGACGATAGTGAGGGGCCCTCACCTTGTCATCTTCCCCGTCTTCGATATTGTCCGCCTACCATTATTGGATTCACCACCATCGATCACTGCCTCCTAACTAGTCACTTTGTTTTATGCTGCAGCCACTGCATGAGCGCCCACCCTAGCTAGTCCACCGCTCACTGCCAATCCTAAGCCGCCCATGACCATCCTTCTAATTGTCAGGGAAACCCCCTTCTTCCTCCTCCCCTCACCCCCTCCTAGCCTGACCTTAACCCAGAATAGGACCACTGCCGCCTTATTGTGGATGCCAATCTTGACACGTATTCAATGGTCAAACATTCAATAAAAATCCTCCTAAATTTTTGTTGCATGAAGGTTAGCAATTCCATTTTTTATTTTTCCCGAGTGAAAACAGATTATAGTAGTGTTGGTTGATTTTATTGGATGAGCCCACGAGTCTAATTTAAAGAGATGAGAGAGAAATTAGTTTTTGTGATCGGTTAAAACTGATTTTGAGTATTAATAGGAGATAAGCTCCCGAGCCGTACCAATGATGCTCTAATCTCTCGGCCAAAACCCTAAACCCTAATAGATACCGATCTGTAATTGCACTGGAAGAGGTTAATAACGCTATCTCAATTACCGGCGCTCGATCTAGCGAGAAGAAGAGAAGCAAAGCCGAAGAAGGAGAAAAAGAAAAGAAGAAAAACAAGGAATCAATTTCAATGGCTTCTAGTGTAGGCCAGTAGATTAATTAATTTGTAATTCGAGTAAAGATGATTGTTTATATAGGCTAAAGTAATAAAGTAATAAGCTCCTGTAATTCATAGAACTCCAACGAGTAGCACAGTATATTTTCTCAAAAAATTACAAAATACAGTAGGAAGGGTATATTGAAGCAGCAAAGAAGAACTACAGGCCGCCCACATTCTCCGCCTATGCCCAAAACTTAAACTTAGGTCTGGTTTAGTTCCCAATTTTTTCTTCAAACTTTTAACTTTTTCATCACATTAAACTTTCCTACACACACAAACTTCCAACTTTTCCGTCACATTGTTTCAATTTCAATCAAACTTCTAATTTTAGCGTGAACACACACCTTTAAGCAAACAAACAAATTTAAAACACAAAAATAATTTAAAAAAACGAGGCAGAGGGCGCGCGGCACAAATGAAGAAACGATCGAACCCGCGCGCAGCAACGACGATGACGCACGTGCTATATATTCAACCGTGCAACCACCGGCCGTCCCACTCCGGCGCCGCCGCGTACCCGCATCCCCCGCCGTACATCGTCGCCGCCGTCGGCGGCGGCGGGTAGCAACTCACCGGAATATCAAGGTCTACCTTCGGGTACATCCCGCTTCTGTTGATGACCGGCTCCCTCACTGTCGGTGGCGGGTAGTACACGCCGCACGCCGGCGACGGCGGCGGCGGGAATACCGCGACGGGCTCCACCGGAGGAGTCGACGACGGCGGTGGCGGAGGAGGGTAGCACGTCGAGCCCTTGACAATGGCCGTAGTATGAGGCTTCGCCGGCGGGTAGAGTAGCATGGGGATGAGTTGCTCAGTCGGCGGCCAGTCTATTGCCGGGTACATCGTCGACGACGGCGGCGGCGGAGGGAGAGTGATCGCTCTGGATGCGGCTGAGCGAGGTGGAGTGATGGAGTATTCGTCGCACTCGCTGCCGCTGGTGGTGGTGGTGGTGGTGCTCCTCCGGTCGTCGTCGGCGTCGCTGCTGGGTGATGACGACGACGTGTCGGCGGCGGCGGCGGCGTGGACGGCGTAGGAGAAGGAGATGACGCCGTTGGGGTGCTTCCCGTCGGGCCCGGCGAGCTGGTACGACACGCGCCGCGTCGCGCCGTCCGCCACGAGCTCGGACACCGGCACGGCGGCGGTCGCGGACAGCACGTCCCCGAGCACGGCCACCTCCGACTTGAGCTCGAACCGCAAGAGAACCTCGTCCTTGTTGTCGCTCGACGTCGCCGGCGACGACGAGGAGGAGGAGGGGAGGTAGAGCCGCAGCGGCGCGTCCCACTCCGGGTTCCCGCCGCCGGCGCGGTCCGTGGCGGTCTTGACGCGGTGCGGGCGGCGGCGCCCGCACGACGAAGGCGACGGCGACGGGTGGTGCAGGTAGATGGAGGCGTAGAGGCAGGGCGTGTGGAAGGGGACGGACGACCTGACGCCCCTGCACGAGACCCACGTGATGTCGATGGCCGCCGGCTCCGGCCGCCGCCGCGGCCACCACCGATGATCCATCGATCAATCGCTTCCTCAGCTCCTCCAGTACAACGCGCGCGCACCCAACACGTACGTACGGAGCAGAAGAGGGGAGAACGAGAGGAGAAGATCCAGAACGAGTGAGGTTAAGAAGGGAGAACTCGACCGACCGAGCTGACTGCGAACGATGACGCGGTGGCCGCGCGAGGGAGGGAAGACGACCGGAAGGTGGACGTGTCTACGTGAAGCGATGTGGAGGTGGTGGTTGCTCGCGCGCTCGGCTCTTGACACGGTCAGCATTGAAACCAAAGCTAACCCGACCCAACCCAATCAGCGGGGAGCCACTGCAATTGGGGTTTGGTGCGCGTACGTGTCACGGGGGGATGTAAACCAAAAATTAAAATTTGAGCAAAATTCTGTGAATTTCAAGAGGCTGAGGAACTAGCGATGATCAGTGACAGGTAGCATTTGTGAACCCGGTGACTTTCCTCTCCCGCAGTGTGTGACTGTCAGAAAGTTATACGTGTGTTCCCTACCTCCAGGACCACGGATTCATGAGCCTGCAGGAAAAAAATGGCCATCGATCGATAGAGACAGTGCCGTTCCGCGCAGTATCGTGGAAAAAACTGCACAATGACACGGTCGTGCGATTAATCGTTTACTAGTACTCGAAGAAAAAAAAGATTTTTTTAATACCGTATAGACTATGGACTATACGTGGTGATATACCCATCGCCAACGATTAATTTGGCCAACTAATCGACACACATCGCCGTCTTTCCTCAGTGACTTTACAATTGGAGTAATTAGCTACTGTTCGTTTCTTCGGCGTCAGGAGAGCGGTAGCTGTACCAGTCATTAATAATAGCATATAGGTTTGCATTGACAGGTCAGACAAGTTATATAACTATACGCTCGCTTCATGCCAGCAAATTTCTGCCTTGAAAGGCTACGTCTTTCGCTGTCATTACTGAAGCTTTTCCACGAGATGACATGAAGATATCTCCACAAAAAGAGGCTGCATATAATTTGGGAAGGATGCAGGATTAAAAAAAAAAACAGGGTGAAAGTTGCTTGGGACACCAATGGGAAGAGTGAATTGAATCATTGAAGTTTGTTCTAACATGTGTGGCGTGTTTATACAAGTATTGTAGGCACCTGTTTCGAAGAAATACAACAACCTGGGTATGGACAGTGTTTCAAGGGAAGTTTTATCGAACTATACACTCATGTTACAGCTAAGCTATAGGGGTGGAATAAACAGTTGCCTTCCGGAAGCAACAAAAATTTACTGGCATCCGCTTGGCAACATCCAAGTAAGACATTTGGCTTGTATACCTGTAATTCAAATCATCGTCAACTATAGATTGTCCCAATCGGTCGACCGCAAAGGAATGTACTTTGATCGGTCGGTTGCGATTCCTCTGAACCCTGTTGTTCGTGAGGAGACCATCGGCATCGCAAGCACCGATGAAGCGCTGATGGTCTCCTCCCCAAGGCCAAGTGACATGGAGCAAGCCGACTGCAAGGAAGATCACATGAGATGAGAGTCAAATACAGGTACAAAATTTTGAATCAGTTCTATCAAGAAAAACAAATCACCTTTGCCTTGGACAGTATGCGTTTTGCTTTTACTTTTACTGAACTTGTGAAGGAGTTAGTACCATCAACTTCTGTCTCCTCCGTCTGCATCTTTCCAGGCCTGAAATGATACATGTGTTTTAGGCGACAGGCAAAACATTTCTGCACTATACAGGTTGAAACTTGATGCATCTTAATGCAAAGAATAGATTTCAACAAGACCTGTTTGCATCAATTGCAGGTTCCTGGGTGGCACTAGAACCATCTTTGGTGTCAACTGCCAAGAATTCTCAAGTTAAAGTCATGTATATTTCTGTAAAAGCACACGGCAGTGAACTTCACAAACCTTTACTGTCGTCGGGTGCCAGTAAGGAGATGCCTATAAAGACAGATGTCATGCCCAATACAAACATCACTATCCTCAGGGTATCAAATACCTAATGAAGGCAATCCAAAACCCTTAGTTTATCATGAGCAACACAAGATTCTCATGCTTACGATAATATTTACAAACAGAAACTCACTTGATATTCTTGAAAGTACACAAATCCTGTGCAAATAGAAAAAAAGGTCCAAGCAATCTGAAACATTGGAACAATCAGTATTGCATCAAAAAGAGACAGGCCTTCATTCAATCTCGCCATCTGTGACACAGAGAAGGTTAAATTAGAAAAAAAATTATTATCGCAATGGCATGAACAGAAGTCCAAAGAACAACGCTTTAGGTTAGTGCCTGCAATTAGCTTAATTACCCAAAAGCCAGCTGTAAAGAGGAACAACAGAAGCATTGAGTATGTGAACCAGCTATGGAACTGGTATCTGCTGCTCATTGTTAGCCTCAGCATGTTTGACCTAAATAGCCACAGAAAAAAGACGAAAGAAAAAAAAATCAATCAGATTAAAAAATATATTCAAACTGCAGCAAATGAACATAAATCTCAATCAATACAAAGTAACTTACAATGATTTTGCAAATAAGACAGAACAAGATCCAATAGCACCAGATACAATAGCATAAGAAAATGGCAACAATGTCCGCCAATGTGAGCCAGTATGTTTCGCACTATCCGAAATGATAGTTTCTCCACTCCTGCAACGGGATTATTATTTGGTCTGAAAGAATATGATTCTGTGTTTCGGCATAGACTAGGTTATATGACAAGATCTCACCTGTAGAGATACTGATTGAATGCAACCACAAAGACCAGTGACATGCAATAGAGAACAAACACTAAATTGCTGTATTTCGCAACTAGCTGCTCCGGGGTGTAAACTGTTGAAATGATTATGGCATCAGAATATTCACTCAGGGAACTGAGATAAGATAACGTAAAATTGCAGTACATTATAAAATACTCCCTCCCTCCATTTTTCTAAAAGCATGATATGACTCAGCATGGTATTTTTGAATTGAACTTTGACTGTAAAATTTATCTTCGCAATATATTGCTATTTAATTAGAAAATCACGACCATTTGAAAGTACATTGGAGTAGACATGTAGAAATATGATGGTACCACTTTCTATTATTATGTCTATTTTTGTTTGCTAAAGGGGTATTTCCAAGGGTTTGATAAATATATAATCAGCCTAATTGTTGGTCAAAGGTTTGAATCTTCAAATACGTGCAACTGAATTGCCAATTAAATAACAATGGAAGAACCAACTGAAATTTGAAATCAAACTTATTTTAGGGCTATATACAGACAGAATGACTAATGATGTATGGATTAACTCATACCTGGAGATTGATGATTACCAAAGGAAACTAGGAAGATATTGCCAAATACAATAAATGTTGTTGCTACCATGACTCTGAAAAGCAGAGTAAAAACTTCATAAATCTATAATTCCAAGTATTGGAAGTTTGGAACTCATTTCCTTTATAAAAAAATTCCAAAAAGTAGAACAATGCATACTTCACTGAAATGGTCTTGTTCAACACAAAGTAAGCAAATGCAATATTGGACACAAATTGAATCGATCCAAGAGCTGCAAGAAGTGACTGCAATAAAATTACACAAACAATCATTTTTCCAAGTTACGTTAATTGCAATACTGGAGTGGATATGAAAAAAAATATCATTGGGTGGAATCACTAGTACTAATAATTAAGATGTTACATGTCATCAGCAAGCACCATCAGAAGCAGCAAAGTTAGGGTGTATGGTAATGTTAACATCAACATGAAAAAAAAAAACAAGAAGCTCAGAGTCCAGGACTATACCAAAATTTTCAATATAAAGTTTCAAACATACAATTTCTAAGATAGCTTTATTCACGAGTCGTCTGTGCACCACAGAGTCTATTACATCTATACCATTATTGCAATTATTAACTTCGCCTCAAAAGGTTACAATAGACCAACCTGTGCGGCATATGCGAAGGACATGAAGTTGAGGCAGTTTCCCGCAGCAAAGAACAGTATGCCTGAACAGAATTTTAGCATTAAAAGCTTGTGGTTTCCATTTATTTCATGAATGATGTTAGAATGAAAAAAGTAAGCCTTACAGGGAAAACATTACCTATTCTCCAAGTTTGAAAATGCATAACTGACTTCGGAACAAATTTGTCATTGCCTTGATTGTTGTTGGTTGTCGAAAGCTTCTCTCTCTAATAATAAGATACACAAAATCATCACATATTTTCCAGAATTGTATTTGTTCCCAACAACGTTACACAAATGTTATATACCCAGATAAGACGAAAAAATTAACATAATCTTATACAAAAATCAGCTGCAGCATTACCAAATATTGTCATGAAAACCAGGTTATATTTACTGTGCTTTCCACTAATATCAAAGGCACAAGTTATTGCAGACAACCTACTCAAGTAAATTTGGGGCTAGGGCGATCCTAATTTATTAGCGGAAAATTCTCTCCAGGCAAACTAGAAATAAAGATGAAAAGGTTGTAGGTCATATGGTAAGTTGGTAACCCAGATTAATTCCACTAGGGATAAAGTAAAAAGTAACTAATAGTCCAATTCAGAGATGTCATATGCACCTGATCATGGCCCAATTTCAGAAGGTTGGTACCAAAGTTTATGGCAACACTCCCCACAATGTTGATCAGTGCTCCTATAACCCAGTCGCCCATGAGTCAGAAAAATATAGGTGATCGCCTATAAATATATGTTGTATTCCTTCAACAAGCCCCTTGTATGACAACTCATTGCATTTGTTTTGGAATAAACACTTTGAAGACTTGACTGAATGTTCACCCCAATAGTCTGGCACAAATGTTCAATAAACCGTGTGGAGCTTATATCTTGGTTGATACGGAGCCTGCAAAAATGTCACACCAATATATCAGCCGCTTATACTCAGGATTACTACCATTCAACAAGAGAGTTATTTGATGAGGTATTCAAAGATGACCTAGCACACCAGCATAAGCAGAGCACGGAATATCATGAGGCTACCACCATGTCTGTTACTTCAGAACAGAATCTTCCACCGAACATTCCCAAGGACGACAACTAACTTTGTGATTAACAAAATGTCATGCTACACTACGCCGTCCATTTCTCACTACCTAATCTCCATTAGGCTACTGTAGTACCTTTGCTGGCCATTTGCAACAACTAAAATCCTACTACTTCTTGCGGGAGGTGAAAAGAGTCACTCCCCGAATTCAGGAAGCAAAATGCAGATGGTGCCTCCAATCAAATAGCAACCATTTTGATCGATTAATCATCAAATCATTGCCTAAGTTGCTCCAAGCGCTAGGAAAGCATGAATGCAAACACATTCGAGCAAACCACAAACAGAAAAGGGAAAAACAAAAGTCCGTTAACGACTACCCAAAAAAAAAATTCGGCGCGGATCTCATCTCGAAACTAGCAAATGGCGCGGATTTTTTTCCCTCTTTTTGCGGTGCCATTCCCGACTCAGATCTAGCGAGCTCGCGCCATTGGAAGCAATCCCCCCACGAAAAAAATCGACACGATTTGGGGGGACCGTAAATGCGCGCAGCACATCAGCATTCACAAAAATAAAATTGAAAAAAAAAACATGAGAAAAAGGCGCTCGGATCGATCACCTGCGACGGGGCCGGAGATTCTAGCTCAAGCACAAGCCAGCCTGCTCGGGCTGGATTCTCCGCCGCGAGCGAGCGAGCGAGCTGGATGAGGAGGAGGAGGAGATCGGAAATTTGCGGAAGCGTGGAGGAGGAGGAGGAGGAGGAGGAAGGGGAAGAGGAAAGACGAGGGAGAGAGAGAGAGGAGGGGGGGGGAGGACAGGTGGAGACGGCAGGGGACCCATGTGGGCCGTCGGATCTCGATCGGACGGCGGGGGAAGGGGGAGTCTGGTCAGGCGCGGCGGAATCAGACAGGGACGGACAGGCAGACGACAGCCTACCGTGCAGGTTGGTCCTCCTTTTTATTTCTCCTTTTCTTTTACTTTTTTTAAACATGTGTTTGTTCTTTTGGTGGAGCAAAGATGACTGACCTTTTAAACCAAACTGCACAAAACAATGCGAGATTTTATATTATAGAAAAAATATTAGACCATAATTCTAAAAGACTATATAATATAAAAAACAAAATAGATAAACCACACAACCACACTCCTAAAATATCCCATTACCGCTGGTTGAAACAAATGTTTCAAGATTGTTTGGGGTTACACTTATCTTGTTGTCCTATTTTTTCTTTCATTTTTTTTAATTTGGTTTTGCTTCATGCGGAATTTTTGCTGCTAGCTTTGAGGGTCAATTAAGCTAAGCTACCAACCTTGGAGAATGGAGGGTGAACCTTTCCTTTCCGTGTAGACCACAAAGGTTGTGTCCCTTTCTTTTTTTCCTCTACGTGTAATTGACTTCATTTAGAACATGGAACATGAGCTAGAGATTTATAAAACTACGACCTACTAGAAAAAGTTTCTCTGGAAATCTTACTATGAAATAGAAAATCTCAATGTAAAGATACTTACGGTTCTTAGAGAGGCTGTACCATATTATGGCCTTCAATTTTGTCTAGTCTAACATTTAGAGCGCTCGGTAATTAGTGGTACAGCAACTTACCGAGAATGGATATGGAATGCCTTTTGATGATGGGGTAAGATTGTTCTTTCACATGTATATTGTTGGGATCAAATCGGTCTCGTCATTTGTCGACTACAAATTTGTGCAAGCACCTAGATCTACATACCACAGGGGCAACATGCTCTAGCGGTGGCAGGTGATATCCCCTAGGCCCACAAGTGACACACTCGCCAGCAATGTCGCTTGAATTCATGAGGTGGGAATGTGGCGTCACGATGAGGAGCAAGGCCAATCCCTGCCTTCTCATGGAAGTGATGCGGACATAAGGTAGCACAAATTCTTTTTATCAATAATACCCCTAGCCAATAACAAGCACCTAGATTTGATTGGTATCTCAAGTAACATAAAAGAAAATTTTATGTTGAGGGTACTAATTAAGCTCCATAAACCGATAAATGAATTTTATAGTAAAGATTAAACGGTATCATTAATACACAGGTTTAGGTAGGTTCTGTCGACGTTTAATATCACGATTCCGGTATTTGTATAGTATGGAGATCGTTGGTATTAGGATATATGCGAGATTGTAGTAAAAGAGACAAGGACGAGGATTTTTATACAGGTTCGGGCCCCTGAATTGTCAGGTAATAACCCTACATCCTATTGGCCGAAGCCGGTATTGCTCTTATTCACCATAATCACACCAGTACAATATTTGGGATAGCCTATCTAACTGTTGTCGACATGGTGGTCTGAATGTCTGACTCGTATTGACAACATGGTAGTCTTCCTCCTCGAATCCATGTCCGGCGACATCAGAGACAGCGCTAGAACCCTACGGCCGGCCTCCGTAGGTACCGGATAAGGTCGGTCCAGACATATCTCTGACGTTGATATCCGGCGGCTTTGTCTTGGCGTATGTTGGCTTGTATGTTGTGGCTTTTGTTGTTCCGTGTCTTCTATGGTAGGTGTGTCCCCTCTCCTCCTAGGGGGCCTTGTATTTATACCCATAGGTGTCCCCTTGTCCAAGTAGAACTAGAAAAACCAATATGGATACAATCCGAGTAGTCCTCGTCGTTTCTACATAGAACTCTGGTTGTCTTTCCTTATCTGGAACTTCATCCATATCCGAGGTCAGTGTCCGTATAAGACATGATATGTGGTGGGTCCTGCCGAGATTTAATCGACTACTATTAGGTATGTGGTATCTATAACCCTGACAGATTCAAGGGTTGATTCTGCTCTTGCTCTTGAGAGTAATGGTATAAGTATGTCTGACTATAAGACCGACTGGTCAAACAGAGACAAAAATCGACCATAGTGATATGAGAGTTGAGCCTGCATTGAAGAACTTTTCATCCTTCGCTTGATTAAGATAGAAGCCATGCATGTAGGTGGAGGTCGCCCTAACATACTCGATCTGCGCTCGGGGCTGCGCCCCTACCATCGGTGGTGGCGGGTTCACGCGTTACTCGACATCTTTAAGTTTTGATTAGATTGTCCGTTTAGCTTATAAAACTACTCTCACTATAACATCTCGTACTATGTTTGTTTATTTTGAAACAGACGAAGTAAACCGGAGTATCGTTAGAGCAGCAGTTTGCCGTACGATAGTGACGGAATGCGTTTTGAATTGTTTGGTTGGTTTAGGGCCCGTTTAGTTCCCTAAATTTTTTTCTCAAAAACATCACATCGAATCTTTGGACACATGCATGAAGCATTAAATATAGATAAAAAGAAAAACTAATTGCACAGTTATGGAGGAAATCACGATACGAATCTTTTAAGCCTAATTAGTCCATGATTAGCCGTAAGTGCTACAGTAACCCACATGTGCTAATGACGGCTTAATTAGTCTCAAAAGATTCGTCTCGCGGTTTCCAAGCGAGTTCTGAAATTAGTTTTTTCATTCGTGTCCGAAAACCCCTTCCGACATCCGGTTAAACGTTCGATGTGGTACCTAAAATTTTTCTTTTCTCCAACTAAACACACCCTTAATTTGGAGTTTGGTGTGGCGGGGCATGTGATGTGTGAGGCTGACTGGCCGAGGAGCGAGGAAGCTTCAGCTCCCAGCATCCGTGATCGCTGATTGACCACCGCACGTACTCCCACCAAGATTAGAGGACACAGGTCGATTAATTACGGGTATCTAGTCAGTAGTCAACCATCAACATGGCGTTTGCCCTAGTGAACAATTAAAATGCATCGAAATCACCAGTAGCTACGACTGCTAGAGGAGAGAGTACAGGGCTGGAGGTTTGCTACATATATAAAATGTTGGTAATGCCAAAACAGTTTTAGGTATTGTCAATTTTTTTAAACTTATGTATGTTATTGTTGGTATATTTTGGTAGCAAATCAAACACTAACTAAAGTATTATTTAAAGTGCCAATAATTTGATTGGCCAAATTTTGACTTCAAAGCAAAATAACTCTTATACTCCTATATTAGTAGTACTTTCTAGAAGTGCAGCATGTTGGAGTGGTATTTTCCACATGGCTCGTCTGAACTTTCTTTCTTTGCTTTCTTCTTCTTCATTCTTCTGAAAATGTGGATGATCTGACCCGTTTTTGACTAAAAGCATTTGACGATGGACATGTAATACTTCCGGTTAAAAGTGCTCGAAGTTCATAACTAAAACACGTAATCCCAACTCGTAAAATCCCAACCACCGATATTTTCTGAAACACTTGCTTTAATAATAGAAGAAGTATTTAGTCAAAAAAAATAATAGAAGTAGTGATATACATATATATTTGCCTAAAAAACTATAATATCATAAACTTGTTAGATTTTATAAACTTATTTAAGTATAAAATAAGTTGTGTGTAATTTTATAAGTCTCATTCTAGATGTCAAATATTTATAACTATAGGGAATTAATTTTTTTTACTAAAGCATGATTAATGCCTTAACTAATTGGAACATGACTATTCTCTCATATATTAAGCACAGAAAACATGGTGATGATTTCCTCAGCTGTGCATTACTCTTGATTTGGTAAATAACAGCACCCTTATTTAATCTTTTTGACAGTGGCGTAAACTAAGTGATTCCCGCTCTTTGCGAAAATTAGTAATTTTCAATATATTTTTTCAACAATCGAGTTAGGAGTAAAAAGGAACACAAATAATGAAACATCAGGGTTTATCGGTACTAATCATAAAACAAACCAATGATACACATATTTTGATACGGAATATATTAATAAATATATATTAAGTATTATAAATATGATAGATAGATAAGTTAAAATATTGTAGAAATTATGTGAGGGGTGTTGATTACATATGATTGTATGTTGATTTGTAGAATTCAAAAGATTATAAGATGATGTTGCATGTGTTTGATATTTGATTTATAATTATTGCTATTGGATAATAAGAGCAGGTACAATAATGGGCAGTGGATGATACACATAGGATTTTTTTGATGAGCTGTAGGAGAGAGGGGAAGACAGAAAAAAAGCAGGTGACTAATTAGTCGTTCGACTGTATGCTCCACCCGAGGCGCGGGCCTACCAGGAGCGATGGCCGATGGGTGCACCCGCCCAAGACGTTGCCCGCGTCCGCGGCGCCGCACGCTCTACAGCCGTGGCTGCCATCACGCTCCACTAGATCGTCGTTGCTGTCCTCGTTCGCCATGGCTGTCGTCGCCATCGACTACGTCCGCCACCGCCGCTGCCCTCATCCGTCGTGACCGCCGTCACCGTTGATTGCGCCCACCGTGCTTGTCATCGATTGTGTCCGCCGCTAGCGCCCTCGTCTACCATGGCTATAGTCGCCATGACCATCGTCGCCGTCATCCGGAGGAGAAGAGGTGAGAGGAAGAGATGGGGAAAGACAATGGGTCACATAAATATATTAAAATATCTATGTTACAGTAAATTTATTGCATAATGGCTATACTTGCTGCAGATGACATGGCTATCTATTGCAATCAGCAGTGTGCTTTCTTATTGACCTTGCTCTAATTAATGTGTTATGGTTGCATGTTGAGTTTTATACCTAGTGGGTTGTATCTTTATAAAATATAAAATGTATAGATGTATAATATGTCGCTAGTCACCGAGCCAACAACCTTTGAATTCAATTTGTTACACATAATGCCACCGGGTAGAATGATTGATACCTGCGAGGTTAGACACATGTAGATATCTAGTGTTGGAGAGTTCGGCACGGAGTACACGCATCTATTACTGGGATCTAACAAACACTTTCATCAGTAGTGGTCTAGTGGATCTGCAGCTGCTCTTGCTTAATTAACCAAAAGAAAGTGCAATGTGTAATTAGTTAGGTCAGGCTTCACATATATACCAGCCGTATGCCCAGCCCTCTATCTCTTAAAAAAACCCTTAAAACATCAATCAAATACGGTATATATAGTAAACTGTTTTTCCTATTTTAAAAAGAACTTTTTTTCATAAATGTGTTTTTTCCCTACTAATAACGGATAATCCCACCCATTTATTGCACATACAATACTAGAGACATGCCAGTATTTTACAAGTTACAATAGAATCTAGAAGAAAATGAGCAATGGTTTTAGTATACGGACATCTCCCCACGAACCACTTCAAATAAAATTCACCTAATTTCATGAGGTCCATCATTTAGCGGCTTGTATTTTTAAACAAACGAGGAGGCCAACACCAACATAGGCGAGCAAATGGCAGGCTCCACCACCGTGGTGGCCGTCATGGGGCCCCACCACGTTGTCATCGTCAATTGTGGCAATTCTCGCGTTGTCCTCTCCCGCGACGGCCTACTTTGCTGCTAGTGTGAACGGTGAGGTTGACGGTGCCGAGGAGGCTAGCTCAGGCGAGCAGACACCGTCCTCTCCTGCGGTGGTGTGGCCATGCCACTCCGCTTCGACCACAAGATGGAGAGAGATGAGGAAGATAGAGACCAGGGAAACAGAGGGGTGGGTCCTACTGCAATTAATTTTATTTTAACCGAAGACTCACTGACATGTGGATCCTACGTTTTATTTTACTTATTTGTCAACGCCATATTAGAAGAAACCGCTATTCAAACCGTTTTGGGATTTTATTTGCACTGGTTTTGAAGGTTGAGGGACGTGGCATACCTAATATATGTCAAGATTTCATAGTACTATCCAGCTAAAATCCCTTATATTTTAGGACGGAGGGAGTATTACGGTTCAGGGTCGATTCTCAGACTCGGCGACAAATTAAGGGATGCCATGTGAACTTATTCCAAGGCGGACGTAAGCCCAGATTCGTAAAGGTCAACCGGCCCACAATGCCGCGACCGTTTTCCATCCCTCCTCCCCTGAAGAAGTCGAAACCCTCCCACCGCCGGTGGGCGGTGGCGGCAAGCCGGCAACGGCGGAATCCACCCTCCTCCGGCGGCGCTGGCTGAAGACGACAGCCATGCCTACCTACCTGCCTTCCTGCCTTTCCCCTCCCTTTCTCCCCTAGCTAGGGGAATGTGCGAGAGCAGTCTAGACTCTAGAGGCGGGGGGGGGGGGGGGGGGGCTTTTTCTCCTCGTCCAGGTTCTCACGGCGAAATTCCGCTCCTCCTTTTTGTGCCTGCGACGAGCACTCCCGTATCGCGAATGGATTGGCTGGTTTTCTGGGTCTTATACGCTGTTTAATTTTTTTTTTCAAACTGCCGCCATACGAAAATTTCTGATTCTTTTTGCTGGAATGAAAATTTCTGATTCTGAGCTTCGCTTTCTGTGCTTTTGTTTCCTGTCAATCACAGGTTCCTTCAGTGAAAAATCTGGCCGTGTAGGTGTCGAAGGCCAGAGATTATCGAAGTTTTTGTGTTTTGGTCTTGTGAATTTTGCGAAGGTAAACCTCATATATCTCTGATGGGATTGATGTATGTCTGGGGAATGCTTCTTATATTTGGCATGATTCTCATTATCTAATTTTTTTTTGGCATGATTCTGATTTCTGAGACCTTGAATTGACGATAACTTTCCCAGATTAATGTTGGGATTTGCAGTAGTATTACAAGACATGTTAAACATATTAAGTACTAGCATGATACTGGTAGGAATTGAAGGCTCATGGCCCTAACATGAGCATGATATATATTCACCCATTTCACCCGTATCAGTTTCAGCTTTGGAATCAGGATACTGTGGTAGTTTTGATGGTGTTCTTACATAACTTGCCTGCGCATGGAGCATGTCTCGATCCTTACTATTGTCGATTTAATTTTTCCTGTTGCAACATGAACTCAAAGCCTAGGATCTAGAACAAAATTATCATCTATTTCTGTTTTGTTATGAATATAACTGTGCCATTGTTCTTCCTATGCTCGACTCCAGAATGAAAAAGATAAGTTGCATTGACTAAAATCTCACTGAATACGGTGCCCGAAAAAACTGTTCACATGACCTCCTGATTAAAGACGAAAAATATACACCTAAAGCCAACAGTTTGCAGAAATATTTATTAATGTTTCTCTTGAATGAAAATACAATAACTCCTTAAAGTCGTCCTGGATGGATCACTGATGAAGATAATACTACCGAGGTACCTTCTCAATTTTCAAATAGAAATGAACTTTTAAACCTATTTCCCCCCAATGAACAAGAGGTTTTACTGCCTGATATTATGTCAACACCTGCTTAATGGCTAATTCTGCTCCTGTTAAGTTGAAGGTGAACTACCAGTGTAAGTGAACTGTCTGCTTAAGAATCCCAAATGGGTTTTTCCAATGCAGTGGGGTCAAGAGATGACTGATGGTAAGAGTAGATATGTTCCTGAGGTTTCTCCTGCTCATCAGAATAGCTTAATGCTGTCACATCCGCGTTGTAGGTCTCGGAACTCATATCCAAAGTCCCACTCCCTCCTAAACCCAGAAAGTCTTGGGTTAGTCCTGCATCTGCATCTACTACACCTGAAATGTTGTCCTGTCTGTTGTGCTGTGTCTGGTTTTCAGGGAAAATGCTAGGGTTATCCTTTTCTTCTCTCATGGAAAATGGATGGTTCATTAGTCCAATTAAAGGCACAGTACCTGGCCTCATGATGCCACTGGACCACGGTGCGTTGATCAGAATATTACCACGGCCAATCATGTAAGAGTTCTCATCTTCAGTTGTCTTCATGCAATCACTATTAACTGTTGAATTCCCAAGGGAATCTCCCTGGCTTCTAGAAGATATGTTCATATGATCTCTAGAACTAGTCAAGTTATTTGGGAAACTTTTAAGAAGTAATGGCGAAATAGGATCCTGGCTGGTCTTTGCTCCCATCTCTGCAGCTTTCTGTAGCAAGGCTGTTGCAGACATGTATGGGGAGTTCATGGACATATAAGGATAACTTGTCACACTTCCATCAAGTGGGAATCCTGATTCCTTGGGTGATATCTGGTTTGAGAACAATGTAGTGTTCCTCGTAACGAGAGCATAAGGGGATAGTGATCTCAGATGGCTGTCTGAGTTATGGTCGTTACTAGCTAAGTTTGCGATCATATCAGTTGGTGAAGAGCTGAAGCTAGGCACTCCATGTGAAAACATATCTTGCTGTTGACCGTGCAGACTTCCAACCATTGTTGCCAGGCTGTGGTTAACCCTAGAAGTGTCTTCAGCTAATGCATCACAGAAGGCTCGGTGTGTGATGAAACTATCCTTTCTGCATAAAATAGGGTTGAATATTAAAACTGATGATAAAAAATAATTATTTTACCGTGTGATCAAAACCAGAGTAACATGACAGGAGTCTGAAGGTAAGCATAGCGTATTCTTAGGTTCCACTTGTTGCGGGCATTTCAATCTTTAAGAATGTTGCAGTTGTTCTAATGAATTTTCAGTTCATGCATCTCGCATGGAAGCAACTTATTGATTTCTTTTGGAATAATTTCTTTGAGGGAGCATAAACCTAGTGTAGCCAATATTTAAATCACTTCTACTTTAATGATTTAAACATATTTGTATTTGTTTCATATGAAAGTTGAAGGAATAACATGAAGAGAGAATGTTTTGATGTTTAATTTTCATCATGAAAAATGAAAAGGGAGTCTGATAGCAGATAGTCAAAGCAGTAAAGGACACTGGACTTGAGCTAAGACTAGGGTCTACTGGAGGTTGAATCAGTACAAAAAAGGAGCCCCATATAACACATCCACGTGAAGATAGTATTTTTTAAAATAAATCCATAGATTTTTTTTAAGTGTTCAACTTCAAACTACTAGGGGAAACAAACATAGTTCCATGACTTAATGGGCTCAATCAAACCCTGCCCTGTGCAAGTATGTAATACTCAAGGTCTCTATGCTTTTCTCTTCTATCTTTAGTCCATGCTAGTGTCATGGACGGTGTACCTAACTTGTATGTCAGATTATATAGGTTATGCAACAAACAATTATTTATTATGGACCTAGTTCATAATCATGAGCTATTTTCATTGAGAGCCACTCGTGCAGAAGTATGAGAGTAAGACACACCTATGTCTATGGAGTTCTTAGCATGATCCGCATGTAGTCAAACATAGCTGGTATAACTATTGTGGATAATGTAGTTGGCTATAAGAAAGATACCTTGAGAAGATTGTCCCACAGTCACATCGGTACTCCTTGGTGCCACATATCTTTGTGTGAGCCTTCCAATCTGATTGAACAGCATACTTCTTTGAACACCTGTCGCACTTCCACTTCTTCTCCCCATGCTTCCTGGAGTAGTGTTTCTTAATGCCTGTGAGATCGCCCAAAGCTCGGGTTGCATCATGATGAGGGCAGGTAATCTCAGGGCAGACATACACCTTCTTCTTAGCTTCTGTGCTGCTTCTCTGCTTCAGCTTCCATGGTAGGTTGTGGCCTCTCCTATGAAGTTGGAGGTTCTGGTCTCTCTGGAAGCCCTTGTGGCAGACCTCGCATATATACCTGTTTGTTGCCAGGAGTGTCTTAGGTGACAAAGCTACGACCTCAACATCTGGATCTGCATATGAATGATTATGAATTAAATGTTAGGCTGTCAAACAGTATATGTTCCAAGATAACATTATCATCACCTAATTTTCAGATCAACTCGTTGAGATCTAGTCTACTTTTCTGCCATGGCTGTTTCACGAATTACAATGTCAGAAAATGCAAGATGTGGTTGTTAATTGTTATGTTCTTTCTTAGAAATTGGTTACAACCCTGCCTCTACATCCAAATGGATCTACACAACCAATATATACATATATATATTAGATGGGGTTGTTATCTACTATCTATCCATTCAGATTTCTTTCCTGCATATATATATTTCAAATCTTTAGTGTGATTGACTTTGAAATTTGGTGCAGCACTCGCAAAATACTTTCAATCATAAGGTGAATTGTTTAGGCATGTATATTTTATTCCTATTAATAACATGAATTTGTCAGGTAACTAATATTAATATGACATGACAGCACAAGTTTCTTAGTTCATGGCTAAAACGGCACTGCACAAGAACATATTGAGTTTCCAGTTCTGAGGATCAGAGGTGCTAAAAAGGTATCATTAGATTAATAATAAGTTGGGACTTTCCACTGAGTTTTTAGTTTAACCTTAGCTGATCTTTATCCTTTGTCTAATTCGTAGCCAGGTGTAACCAAGAAACACAATTATTGTTTTGAGCATTGCTTTGATGCATTTATTATGTCACTTGCACAGTTGCACGTGTGCTCATGAAATCAGACAATTATCACTCGAAATAATGAGGTTAGGACTGTTGACCAGCATTAGTTGAAAAATGATATTATGAAATGCTACAATAACAAACGCTTTGTTAGGAAAGATCGAAGGGACGTACCTGGGTTTCCTGGGTGACCTCGTCTCTTCTTCACCACAGGCATGACAGTGTCACCTTTGCTTGATCCAGCAGCGCAAGCCTCTAGCTTCGGTTGCTGCTGGAGGTTGTTCAAGGATTCTTCCTCTGATGTGTGTGACATTGTTTGGAGGCTCAGTTAGTGGTTTTAGAGGGTGCCAGTAAAGTGAGGAGGGTTGATGATTTATGCACAACAGAGTGGAGGGACTACAACTGGACAATAGGGAAATGGTGAATTCCCTTTCAGTCACCATCAAGGACTGCAACCATTAGTTTTAAATCTGAGGAACACGACGCTGATTGTTTCGTCAGCATGGAATGTTCTGTTCATTGTTCCTGATTATTTTGTCAGGATCACTGGAGTTTCCTGAGTGAAGCTCCACATGAAGAGAGATATCGAGCCTTGAGTTGCATGCCTACTGTACGCCCATTTTGTTGCAAATTATAACAGTTTCATTTAGTGTGCGCTATGAGCGACAGGTCGATATGATGACCATTTGGGGATCTCAAAGAAAACACTTCACTGCAGACAGTAAATCTGTGCTACTGGACCTTTATTTTTCTCCTGCTGTGAGTATAAATCTGAACACCTTGTAACTATCGACACGAGGATGGAATTCATGTCATATTTCACCGCAGGTGAATAAACTAGCCTGTCATCGTCATGATCATTCGTTGGATGGATAATTTGATAATGTTGTTTTCTTGGGACAATGTCACTTTCAGGTGGAACAATGGCTGTGAAGAGCAGGCAGGAGGCGGTTTTGTCGGTACAAGGAAGGTGATGGATATGACAAGGGGGAGATCCGGGAGGAGAGACAAACTCTGGCCATGTTCTTTTTCTAACCGGCATCCATGGTATCTCCCTCCTCTGCTGGCACAACTGTCAGACTTGCTCTTGTTTTAGTGCTTGGAGCATGGTGGTACCTGGGGGCTTTGAAGGTTTCCACGGCATGTCATCCAATGCAGATACTGAGACCGGAGAGAGGCTGGAAGGTATGTCAAATGAACCGTTCACCGATTTGGCTACTTCTAGTTATCTCCGGTCTCAGCATCTGCATTGGATTTGTCCAGAGATGGGTTTTTTTGGATTTGCTCACTGACCTCTCCATGAACTTCATATGTTAGTTTAAGTACATTAACAGCTTATATACTCTTCAAGTCATCATTTTTCCCTATTCATGGTAGGATATACAATCTTTGCTAATATGAACCTGTGAACCAATCCATGGCACCACTTGGATTTGCAGAAAGCAAATCATTAGGAAGTGTTGCAGGATCTCTGATCATCATCAATCTGGAGCAAGCTGTGCCTTGTTTCATTTTTCCCTTTTTCAGGTTAAGGGTGTGTTTAGTTGGGGAAAAGGAAATTTTTGGGTGTTACATCGGACGTTTGACCGGATGTCGGAAGGGGTTTTCGGATACGAATGAAAAAACTAATTTCAGAACTCGCCTGGAAACCGCGAGACGAATCTTTTGAGACTAATTAAACCGTCATTAGCACATGTGGGTTACTGTAGCATTTATGGCTAATCACGGACTAATTAGGCTTAAAAGATTAGTCTCGTGATTTCCTCCATAACTGTGCAATTAGTTTTTCTTTTTATCTATATTTAATGCTTCATGCATATGTCCAAAGATTCGATGTGATGTTTTTGGGAAAAATTTTTGGGAGGGCCTGTTTAGTTCGCGAAAAAGGAAATTTTTGGGTGTCACATCGGACGTTTGACCGGATATTGGAATGGGTTTTCGGACACGAATAAAAAAACTAATTTTATAACTCGCCTGGAAACCACGAGACGAATCTTTTAAGCTTAATTAATCCGTGATTAGTCATAAGTGCTACAGTAACCCACAGGTGCTAATGACGGCTTAATTAGTCTCAAAAGATTCGTCTCGTGGTTTCCAGGCGAATTCTGAAATTAGTTTTTTTATTCGTGTCTGAAAACCCCTTCCGACATCCAGTCGAACGTTCGATGTGACACTCAAAAATTTCCTTTTCTCCACTAAACACACCCTTAAACATGGCCTAAGTTTACTGTCCAGTGATAAGGAATGTACTCGTAGGCCTGTTGATCGGTTCAATCACTGACACCGGCAACTAAATCGTGGACAGTGACAAGCAAAGCGCCAAAAGACGTCACCCGGCCTGCCCCATGCAAACAATCCTGGACAGTGACCCCTGCATTTTGAACGTACTGTTTCAGGAGAAGCGTGCGACTATAGACATCCTTGAGTTCCTGACAATGTGCATGCTTCTTACTACCTCTTTCCCATTATAAGTGCAGCAATGATTTTCCGCGTCCAACTTTGACCGTCCGTTTTATTTAAAAATTTTTTAAAAAAATTAAAATCATAAATCACGAGTAATGTACTATTCATGTTTTATCATCTCATAACAATAAAAATACTAATTATAAAAAAAATTAAAATAAGACGAACGATTAAAGTTAGGCGTGGAAACTTATGATTGCACTTATAATGGGACGGAGGGAGTACTATATCGGTCTCAAAATAAGTTTATTTTTTACAAATCTCATACTCCATCCATCCATCCATCCTAGAATAAGTGCAGTTTTGTATTATTCATATCTAACATTAGACCATTTGTCTTATTTAAATTTTTTTTATAATTAGCATTTTTATTGTTATTAGATGATAAAATATGAATAATACTTTATGTGTGACTATTTTTTAAAAAAAAAATATATTTTTTTCAAATAAGATATACGGCCAAACATTGGACACGGATATCCACGACTACACTTATTTTGGGACGGTATTTTGGAATGGAGGTAGTACATATCAATACTCCTACCAAAGTAAAAAGACAAATATCCTTACTTTATCAAATCACAGGACAATTGTCTTTCACTTTATCTAGTTCCAATGTAAACATCCCATACTTTACAAACTCCAATGCAATAATTTTTGAGAAATGAACTTATTTTGAGACAAACAAGAGAGGACAAATATGATCTTATTTTATTTTAGACGATTGATACACGGTTACAGTGTCAGCTTGCAAAAGACAAACATATGCACACGCATCGACACACACAACAAACCACCGATAAGGACAGCATGATCGTCGAAGGTCTTTGTTGCTCCAAGAGGCATGCATGATTGATCTTCAGGTCTTAATCTTTTGGGTGACCGGCTGGGTATCTTGTTCTTCTGGAGTTGGAAGTTGCAATAGATATGAGATTTTGGAGTTTCATCTTCTTGCCCCCAAGAGACCATTTGCGCAATCAGTAACTACTAATAGTGCTTCATTTGCTAAAGTAGTAGTACTAGATTTTATACATCATTATATCAACAAAGTGTACTAGAAAATTATAACAAGCCCTAAAAATAAGACAAGTGAGAAGAAAAAAAAAGAAAAGAAAAGACAAACTCTAAATCTCATAGGTGATCCCAACTTTGAGCAGCTGGTCCTTGGGAACGGACAGCGCCTTGTGCCCTTCCCTGAGGTTTTTCCTCAGTAATGTGTAGACGTAGTTGACGACGATCCGCTTCATCACCGACGACCCCGCCGCCGCCGTCACGTTCGCCTCCCCCATCAGGTACACCACCCCGCGCTCCGCCTCCGCGTCGATCACCCGCTTCTCCTCCTCCGCCATCGCCTGCGCCCGCCGCATCGCGTCGTCGTCGTCGTTGTCGCCGCGGCTGCAGGCGAAGACGGACTCCTCGTGGACGAACACCTTGAGGCGGTCGAGGAGGAACGCGGCGAACTCCTTGGCGCCCTCGAGCTGGTCGGTGTAGCCGTAGCGCGCCACGCAGCGGAACAGGCGGTGGCCGGCGCCGGCGTCGGCGCCGACGACGCGGCGGAAGATGAACCGCTCCGCGGGCGCCACCCGCGGGACGGGGAGGTGCTTGATGGACATGAACACGAACACGGCGTGCACGGAGGGGATCTTGTCCACGAGCCGCGGGAACACCGGCGGGATCCCCTGCACGAGCTCGGAGTAGAGCAGGCCGACGCCGGGGACGCGCCGCACGTCGCGCCGCGCCAGCAGCGCCGTCGTCTCGGCCGCCGGCACGACGCGGTCCAGCTCGTACCAGTACCGCTTCACGTGGACGTAGTGCCACGTCGCCATGAGCGCCATGAGCACCAGCGAGAAGCAGAAGGGGAGGTACCCGCCCTCGGCGAACTTGGAGAGGATCGACGAGAGGTAGAGGAACTCGGCGAGGCCGAAGGCGGCGTAGAACGCGGCGATGAACGGTAGCCTCACCTTCCAGATGAGCAGCATCACCACCGTCATGAGGTGGGTGGTGATGGAGAACACCGTGACGACGCAGATGCCGTAGGCGTTGCCGATGTTCGCCGTGGTCTGGAACGCCAGCGTGACGGCGACGCTGGCGGCGCCGATGAGGAAGTTCACCTCCGGGATGTACACCTGCCCCTCGTACTTGTTCGACGTGTGCACCACCTCAACCCGCGGGAAGCAACCCAGCGACAGCGCCTTGGACAGGATGGCGAACGCCCCCGACAGCATCGCCTGGCTCGCGATGATCGCCCCCATGATCGCCACCACGAACACCGGCCAGAACAGCGGCGCTGCACATTGCATAATACAGACCACCCATCAATTCACACATTTCTGACGATCAAATGATGCCTAGTTTGCCTACTCCTCCAAACCCATTCTGGCTGAACAACTGTACCTGGGATGGATCTGTAGAAGGTGTCGCCGACATTCTCCGGGAATTTGCGCAGGTAGGCTGCCTGGCCCATGTAGCACAGCGCGACCGAGGGGAAGAGGACGCAAGTGAAGCTGAGCTGCAGGACAGAATGAACAATGCAGTCAGTTGTTTCAATTGTGACAACTGATGACAATGTGGAGAAATGGAATTATGGACTACCTGAATTGCCCTGATGTTGAAATGGCCGAGGTCAGCAAACATGGCCTCCGTGCCTGCGACATTTCGCAAATGCGAAGAATCAGTTCCCCTTCTTGCTCAGTACTTTTCTCCTTTGCAATTGTGCAGTGTTCGGTAATACCGAGCTCACCTGTGATGCAGAGGACAACGCCCCCAAGGGAGACCCAGGCCTCCTTGCCGTTTCTCCTGAAGTAGTCGACAATGTATTTGGGGTTGAAGGCCCGGAGGATGGTGATCTCGTGCACGGTGAGGTTGTACATCCCGATGCCCGCGATCAGGAGGAACCACACTGAGATGACCGGAGCGAAGGTGTACCCGACCTTGTCGGTCCCGAACCGCTGCATCGAGAACAGCACGAACAGGATGGCCACCGAGATCCACACCACTTGCGCTGTAACAAAAACGACAAGACAAAATATTTCTTTTCAGATACCACTCTGGAGTCTGAACAGGCTTGACATGTACTAGTATTACACGTTAAACCTGAAACTATCAAACTAAGTACTCCAGTGTTTTGGTGTGCTCACATTGTGTCAGGTTTGGTGCTTTCTCCCTGATCCCACTCACCGCAGACAGCACTGCAAAGAGGACATCATCCATTGGCAACAAATTAGTACCATTCTCCGAATCTATCTACATTTGCACACATAAATCGAATGCAAAAAAACTGATCTATTGATACCAGAGATTGCTGGTGTCAGTGTCCCATCACCCATGACCATGGAGGTGCCAAGGATTGTGATGGTGAACAGTGCTATCTTGGCTGCGTTGCTGGACTCCAGCTTCTGCTTCACCCACTCAGCCCTCCTCAGCTGCGAGCTTGGCGCCTCGATGCTGTAATTCGACACGTTGGCGTCCTCCGTCTGGTCGTTCGGGATCATTCTGATCTTCGCGTGCCGCGATATCAGCGAGTACAGAGCGAATGTTCCACCTGCAGTAAGTTCATGTCATGCAATTCACCCAATGCAATAATGATCACAAGAGATTGAGAATGGTGATGGGCTGCTGCATCTCTCTGAATTTGGCAGGATGGATGGATGTCAGTCGGTCGGAGAGCTCACCGTCGCCATTGTCGTTGGCGTAGAGGACGATGAAGACGTACTTGACCATGGGGATGAGGATGAGGGTGTAGAGGATGAGGGAGAGGACGCCGACGAGGTCGTCCGGGTGCTTGATGCCGTTCGGAAACGTGCTGGAGTAGACGTACAGCGGCGACGTCCCGACGTCGCCGTACACCACGCCGATGCTCTGGAACGCCAGCTGCAGCGTCCGCGCCCAGCTTCCCTGCCGCCACCACCAAAACACAACAAACACCATGAACAAACGAACTCGGCGTCAGTGTCAGTGTCTGTCACTGGCTACGAGAGAGATGAGTTGGTCCTGACCCCGGCGCCATGGCGCTTGTTGTTGGAGACCTTCTCGGCGTCGCCGTAGAGCGAGTCATGGCGCCGGAGAACGTCCGGCTCCGGCCTGGCTGCGCCATCCTCCTGGACAGACATCTCCTTCAACTGATCAGCTTGTGAAGATCGATGTTGAAGGGTTTAGGCTTCAGAACCCCTGTGCCCTGCATCATCAGGAATTCAGGATACTAGACTTTTAGACACTACTAATTAATTCTGATGAGATCCTAATAGACAACCAAGAAATGGTAACTAAAGAGATGGAATTTGATATCTATATACGCGACGATATACGCGGATCCAAATCCGTATGGTTCTTCTATCGTAAGTCCTCGTCACTGAAACATGTCGTGTTGTTCGACAGAGATTTTGAGAACACTATCAATAATGTTGGAGATCTTCCTTGTCGGTGTTTTTGTCAGAAGAAACCACTAATTGTTGGATCGAAGGGAATTGGCACGTGAAAATGTGACAGGGTTGAGTTCTTTGAGGAAAACAAATGTGGCTTAATTTGACTGAATATATTTCAGAGTAAACAGCAACATGCACAATTCTCCCAACGAAGAAAGTATCTGGAGAATGATATTTCAGTAATAACAATTATTATTACAACTAGAGTGTTTTGAGAAATGTTCTTCCAGAAAAATGTTTCAGAAGAAGAAGATGTCAAGATGATGAGAAATAAAATGGTGAAAGATCAGCAGATCAGAGAACTAAAAAGGAGGAGGTACCCGGGATCCGAAGGAGAGGCTGCAAAAACAAAGCTAAAATCCCCTCATCTTCCAGAATAGTAAATCCCTTATCTTGCATCTTTCCCACCTTATAAACACGCAGAACGCCACTCCATTCGCCAAACCAGACGCCATTTGTCTCAACTACTCTTTGTCCTCCTGGAGAAACCAAACTCTAGGGCCTAATTCTGGAGGAGACGTCATCGGCTACCTGCCTCCTCTGGTTGTCTCCATTGTTGAAGAGAGGAAACCCTCTCTAGTCTCTTCAACTGCAGCAGTTTGTTGCGGTTTCTATGATGTCGCGTCTTGTCAGGAAACCGGAGAATTCTTCCTGCATCGGGCCATTTTTAGCTTGTGTGCCATGGCGTCCCATTCCGTTATTTCTTTCTTTTCTTTCTTTCTTCCTTTCTTTCTATTTAAGGGGAAACGGAATGACGTGTCTTGAGCCACCAGGGATGACCATTTGTCGGGCCGGGCTCTGAGCTCAGCTTCTTTTGGGCTGGAAATTATTGCCTACGCTTTGGCCCAGCAAGGGGTGTTGGGCCTAGTATTTCAGGCCAGGCTGCCATGAAATTTGCACTAAAATAATTTAGAAATAAAAACACAAACAAATCGGATCCCAATTTATTTGGGGCTAAACCAACTCTTTTTATTAAAATAAGGGACTCTCTTACAAAAAATAATTAAAAAAACTTTCGAATGTAACAATACTATAATAGTATATTGTAATATAATTTCACTATGATCATACTATAACTACAATATAAATTATTCATTGATAAAAATGACTATTATCTATTTAATTTCAGAAATAAATTAATTAGTTCTAAGAATAAACTAAACAAGCTTAGAAAATATGGATTAAATAATACAATAGAATAAAGTTCTACGGGAAATACTTATCTTTGGAGGTATGGAGAAATAATCCGTGATAATAATGTAGTGAATCGGGTGAAAATAATAGGGCAGCCTGAAACTCTCCTCTCATGCTCCAACTGGTCATGATGATTATGCTTAGTTAGTTTGACTGCTAAAGACAAATTTTCTTTCTAATATACCTATGTAATATTTGTAACAAATCTCTATCGCTTCAGTCACTTTTGAACTGTTCATATCATGCTAAAATTTGTGAGATTGTAGTAACCTTAACTTTTTCTCGCCCTTCCTTTCTCTCATATGTGAGGCGAGCTTGTGTATCCTTCTAGCCATTGCCTGGACACCGTCACTCGGCCTTACTAGTGTTGGAAGCTAGACACCAAGTCACAAACTACACTGGCAGCTAGGCCTTGCCAGTGACGGATCCAGAAAATCGATTCGTTAGTGTCATAACGTGTCTATCGGTGTCATAAAATGCTAATTATACTTAGATCATGGTGTTATGACATATGGATAAACAGTTTTGCTATAGGTTTTGCCGAAAGTTGTCGGTGTCGCCTGACACCGGCCCTATTACTGTAGATCCGCCCCTGGGCCTTGCGAACCGTCCTCCTCCCCCTCCTTCCAAAGTCAGCTAGTGTATGCCTCCTCCGTTCTAGCAGTGTTGCCGTCACCTCACCCTGCCCACCATCAGTTTAATCGTCACTCACGACCATTTCTGTAAGACTGAAGAAACAAGGGTTTCCTTCTCTCCAGACCCTTTAGTTGGATTAGGTCGTCTGCCAAGCTAGAATCCTAGCGGAGCTATGGGAGGTTGGGCACAACTCTTAACATTGGATCCAATGGTGGACGAAATCCGGATAAAATCTTTCTCCAATTTTCTGCCATATAACCAAATTAATTATTCTAATGGATTGTGGATTCCATTGGGATTGCGCAAGTCCTTTGCCGCCGTCATGTTCGTCCGCGTGTCCCGATCTGAGCCGTCCGAGAGCTGATCAGACGGCGACAAACTAGGATTCTTGACTGGGTGGCTACTAAAGCTAGTGAGTAGTGACCGACCGACTGACTGAGGTCTATACAAACCTCGGCCATATCTCAATCAAGAGTCCTGACAAATTAATTAAGGTGCACGCATGAGACCAAATGCATGCCCAGCCCAGCTAGCTGCCATGTGTGCTGCGCTGCACCATCTAACCCAAACTCCCAAGCTCTCAAATCCCTCTTGTTTAATCACTGGCTATAATTAATTAACCAAATCACGAATCGGTTAAAAGCGTAAGCCAAATCAAGAGTGCAGCCAACATAATGAAACGAATGAAACCCAACAGAAAAGTAACTAATTGACATACTATATATTTTACAACAGAAATCAAAGATATATATATATATATATATATATATATATATATATATATATATATATATATATATATATATATATATATATATATATAAATAATAGCCATTTCTATTATTAAAAAACAGCGAGACCGGTTAAAGATACGCACCTATTCGATGATTCAGAAGAAACGAATTGAAAGCACACGACAACGGCAGAGACGCCGGCCGACACGCCGCCGGCCGGCCACCTTCCTCCGCCGCCGCCGGTCGGTCCTGTAGATATATATAGCTAAGAGGAGGAAGAAGATAGATGGAAGCTAGATGGCCTGGTCGGCTTTAAGTAATAGAGAGAGCTTCAGCAGAGAAGAGGAGAGGTTACACGTGAAGAGAGAGCAAATTAAAGGGCGATCCAGGAAGAGTAATAGTGACAGCTGAAACGGGAAAGTATAGCAGCTACTACTAGCTAGCTATAGTTAGTGACTGTCACTAGCTTAGCTAGCTAGCGAGACTTTGGGCTAGCATAATCGTCGTTTCAACCCGATTTTGCTAGCTAATCAGGTGACAAGCGGTGACTTCTTTTCCATGAAGTAATCACGAAATTAATTAGTGGGGGTGGATTATGCAACGTGTGTAAGAAAAGAAAAAGACCAGCTTAAGTTGTCGTGAACACATGATGGATATCGGATGGGCTATGTTTCTAGCTTAGCTAATAATTTAATAATTCGATCTCGTCACATGGCATACCCGTGTGCAGTGTGTTATAGTTGCAGCGGCGGGACAGTGTGGCTCAAGTTTACCTCTTTTATCGTTTTTTCCTAAAGTAGTCCATCCTCTTCTTTTTTTATTCCCTTTCATATGCTTGCTTATAGTCCTTAATGTATAACTTCAAATAATCTTATTTCATAAAGTATTTATCTAATATGTAATTTGAGTATACCATTGTATTCATCGCAATTAAATCTTTACAACAAGATTTTACTTGACTATATTTTTTTTATTTTTTTGTTGTAATGGATTTTTTAATTTTTGCAACGGGTATTTAATGATGTTTTCGCTAGGTCATTTTGAAATGTTACACAGGGTGTTTTTTAATGTTTCAGGAGGTATTTTGTGATTTCTTCGGCTGATGTTTCACGATATCATTTTTGTAATGGTACACATGGTGTTTTTTTGAATGTTTCAAGAGGTAATTTGTGATATTGTAGCTAATGTTTCACTAGGACATTTTAAAGTGTTGCATTGTATTATTTTGATATTTTTCTAGGTATTTTGTGATGTTTCACTATTGCATTTGGAATGTTCCATGTCGTGTTCTTTGGATGTTTCAGAAGGTATTTTTGTGATGTTTCAGAACGTATTTCACTAGCTCATTCGAAACGTTGCACGTGGTGTTATTTGAATGCCTTAGAAGGTATTTTACTAGTTCATTTGAAATGTTGCATCTGGTATTATTTGGATGTTTTAGCAGATGTTTCACTAGGTCATTTAGGTTGTTGCACGTGTTGTTCTTTCGATATTTCAACGTGTATTTTGTAATGTTTAAGCGGTTACAAATCAATGTTATATTTATAATATAGAAATGTTTCAATTAGTAATATAAATATATATGCTTTATTTATACAAAATATAATCATGTGAGATCTCTTTGTAAAGATTTAACTGCAACAAATTCAACGGTGCAATCGGATCACAACTTGTATCTAAAATAATTATTCATTCTTTAATCCGATTACACCATTGTATTCATTATAATTATATCTTTATAACAAGATATCACATGATTATATTTTGATAAAAAAATAAATGTTGTTTCACCCCTTAAAAATTGTTTCAGTTGTATAAAATGTTCTAAAGAAATGTAACATTAAAAAATATCGACTGCAACAGCATTAACCACCTATATGAAACATTGAGTCTCAGATAGCGAAACAAGAAAAGTCATATGAGATTTACAAAATATTTTAAAAACTTGATATTGTTCAAATATTTTTATATGACTAACGAGTATTAAACTATAACTATCGAAACATTATTAAATACTTAGTGAAACATTTAAGGAAAACAACGTACAAAATTTGCAAATTAACTAATGAAACAATATATGTATACTAGCAGAAACATTTAAATATAACATGTGCAACATTTCAAAGAAAACCATTAAAAAGTTAAAATATTTTTTTCATCGAAATATATGCATGTGTGGTCTTGTTTTAAAGATTTAATTGCAACGAATTAAATGATGTAATCGGATCATAAATTAGAGAAATAATTTAAAAGATAAACTAGTTTAAAAATTGGCAAAAAAAAGTCTTATACCTACCCTACTAGCTCGTACTACCCTACTAAGCATGCATGTAGCTACTAGTAACTGGCTACAGCATATCTCTTCGACTGGTATAATTGCGCATGTGACAGAGGCTGAGATGGATGCTCTTGCGTGTGACAGATGCTGAGCTGGGCGCGACGTCCGATTTTGTGTATTTTGTCGGACGTCCGACGCGTAGTCGTCTCCTTTTTTCCCCTCTACTCAGCGATGGTAGATTAATTGCATGGTGGAATTTGTAACCGGTATTTTCTCCATCCCAAAAATACTTTACTTATACTAGCACTACTAAAAAAGGTCACACCTTTTAATTTACTGACAAGTAAAATAAAAAACGCCAGCACATATAAAACTAGAGGTTCCTAGTTAGTGACCATCATTGAAAATCTATTTTCGCAAGCGGGTCGTCTCAAGAGATCCGCTATTAAAAGTTATACTATTTTTGCAAGCGGACCTCTTAAGTAACCGTCAACGAAAATTGATTTTTGCTAGCGGCCCCTATGGACTCCGAAAGGCGCCAGTGGGGAAGGAGGAGGAGGGAGAGGGAGACTTGGAGAGGGTGGAGGTCAGGTGTGGGCGTGGAGACTGTTAATATGATTGTAGTTTTTCATGGGTGGCGACTCTCGTGGGCAGCGGATCCGGCTGTGAGTACCCACGCTGGTTGTGGATTCGACGGCCGCGACTCAGGCTGACCCCTCCCTTCTCCGCCACAACGGTGCTTTGCTGAGGTGTGCGTCATCTGTATTTTTTTTCCTTTTTGTATTTGCTCATCCCGTTCTCTTCCAAATACATGTTGATATGATGTAGAATGATTTGATTTGTATTTTATGTTTGATATTTGGAAATGGAACCATGGAAATGGGCAGGGAGCTAGAGTGATTTGCATTTTGTGTTTGATATTTGGAAATGGAACCGTGGAAATATGCAAGAAGCTAGGGTTCCTGGGAAAGCAGGGTTTCTGGAATTATTTTTGTCGAAAATCTATAACTTTGATGGTTGGCTTAATTGAGTTGCTTGTGAAATATCGATTTTCGTTGACGTTGTAGAACTGTTTGTGAAAATTGCCGATTTTCACTAGTCCTCAATTGATGGCGGGGCTTCTAGCCACTAGCAAAAATGTATTTTGACCGCTAGGACAAATCATTTGTTGTAGCGTAGCATCCTTTAGTTGTCTCACAAGTAGTTTATTTCCACTTAAAATACACACATTTAATTGGAGCATTGGAATTGCAATCGTATGATTAATGAGGAACATGTTATTTCATCACACTATATGCTCTGTTCAGCAACGCTACTATGAAGCTGTAACAGCTGTGCTGTACAGCCAGCCTTATATACTTTCTCTATCATGTACTGTAGTGCAGCTGCACAGCAGCTACAATTTAGCTGCAGCGAATAGACCCATAATTTGTCCTATTAGCACTCTACTAAAATCTTTTTAGGACGAATGGAACAACGTGGACAGCTTAAATGTGATGGACAGATCGTCTTCGTAAGGAAACTACATAACTATATCATTAGTTTATACAGTTGTGTCATTGATATATAAGGTCTATATCATTAGCGTAACTTGAAACCAGTGAAGTCAGAGAAGCCTCGTCGACGCTCCATGGGACCTCACAGCTCGCACAAAAAATTCCAGTGAGACCTTAGAGCAAGTTTAATAGTGTAGTCTCGTGGGACCTCACAGCTCGCATAAAAAAATTCTAGTGAGACCTTAGAGCAAGTTTAATAGTGTAGTCTTCTACCGATAGTAATTTTCTCCATGTCATGTTATGGTTAGTGAAATATAATAGATTATCTATAATATGGTGGGTCACATATTACTATTTTATTATTTTATGCACATTAATTATCTCTCCCGTAGTCTCGTGCGCGCGCTTTTCTTCCTTGGGTTTGGTGAGTTTAGCATGCATGTATAGAGCTCATCTTGGTTTGCGTGTTAGCTTGGCTACAAATTAATCTCCCATTTTCTCTCCTTCAACTCATCTATATAACTGATGTGAAGCTTTTATAGCCTGCTAATATCATCTTATTGAACCTGCGCTCCTAGCATAGATCGACTGGATTATCTACTCTAGCCCCGTTTAGCAGCATGGCTCTTGCAGTTGGGAGTTGGCACACCAGGGCTGACCTGACGGGGTCCTTTCACTTTTGCTTCTCGATTGGTACGCAACGCCGGCTAGGCCAGAGACGCGAGTACGTGACCCAGAAACGCAAACTTCAAAACGAAATCTTCAGTTATCGAATTGATCTGAACTCTTCAAAGCTTCAGCTAGCCTGCAATTTAATTTCTCCAGCCGTGCCTGCAATTATCGATTGGGCCTTCGTTTGGTGTGAAAGATGCCGTGACACAGCACGGCGGTGCCCAATCCTGCGTCTCCTTTTTTGACCGTGGCTGCTCGTGAATCTGCGACACGAGATCCTGCGGACTGGACTACTCATGCATGGATAGCGTTTGCCTCTTTTCACTCACCCAACAGCCAACAACTATCTGGCCTGGCCAGAGCCTATTAGAGCAAGTATAATAGTATGCTATAAACCGGCTAAATGCTGAGGTTGAAGAGAGAAAAGAGGAGAGAGAGGAGAAGCAGTCTGTAAATTTACAGCCGGTTTGGATACAAGAACCAATAAACTCTCGAAGAGAGACAAGTGGGCCCTGTATTAATGGTAAAGAGCTATATTATATAGACAGGCTGAAAGAAAACTACAAAGAACTTTATAGCCAACAGGTCGGCTGTATTATTAGTCTGGCTCTTAACGGCACGTAGCTAACCAGTGTCCACTAGATCAAATATAAAAACCAAACTTATTAGAAATTGAATAGAAGGAATGTTAAAACTAAATTCTTTTTAAAATAACCCTTAAAGTCATAATTCTTCTTTCTATATAGTTGGTACCCACTAAAGTCATAATTGCTATAAAACAGCTTCTGCATTAAGCCACATCATCAACACTTCATAGCCGTCGGATCAAGTGCCATAAAAAAAGCTGAGCCGTTAGATTTTCATTTCAAGTTGAACTTTCCAAAATCCATTGAGGTATAGGCCCTCTGCTATCCCATGCACGCTGCTACTCTCGCCTACCAGGCCTCGATCTTTCGGTGAAAATTGATTGCAAAACCTAAAAACAATGCCATAAAAAGAGCAGTTGAGGAGTCGTGTGTTTCATATTCCTTTTTATTATATATTCCACCCACGTCCCACCCACGATCGTTTTCATTCTGCTGCTAACCCAAGAATTCGTCGCAATTAATCATCGTCCTACACTGACCCAGAATTCACACAGTCGTCATCGATCAAGCTACCCGTCACCGTGTCCTATAATAGCCCAAACCATCAAGTGCCTTGGCGTAGCTAGCTCAATACACGATCAACGCGCTTCTACAACGGGACCTTCCGCTTCTACATCGACCAAGAACATTCTTTCGATTGCCTGATTCTTCCGCCTCAACAATTCAACGTATCCTTCTGATCATACCACACCGATCAAACTCTCTGCTATCCTATGCAAAAAGTTAACCCCCTGATTCTCCCATCTTCCATCTGAGTTTTTGTGCACTATATGTCTTTCGTACTAATTTCTTACTGCACTCATTTATGTTTGTTGCTGCATAATTTATCCTTTCGCACTTGCTATCGATATTTGATCATGTCTGATGTTTCCTGCCATTAATTATCTTCAGTTTCAAGCTAACCAGCTCTGAACTTCAAGTAACGGCGGTAGACAGCGTCTACAGATTCTGCTCGAGAAAATGTTGCTTCCACAAGACACGGTATGTTTTCGGAGAGCGCTATGGCTCGGACGCGTCCGATGTCTCACCAAATATCGGACGCCCAGCCAGGCAACGAGTACATGTGAGAAAATGCTGCAAATCGGCAGCCTGGCGGATTGGACGAACCCTGTCACTGTAACATACATGTCTAGCTGTTTCTTTTCATTCTTTCCACCTCTCTTTGAATAATTTTTCTCCTAAATTACTTATCCGATCTACGAACCGATCACACCATTGTATTCGTTGCAATGAAATGATTATATTATGTCAAAAGAAAAACATGTGTTTCAAACCGTTAAAACAAAATGTTTTATACATGATAGTGATATGTTTCAATATGTGTCTTCAGTATGTTTCACAAAATCCCTAAAACTACCTGCTATACTACCCTGTCTCTACCTCATGCATGCATACATGCATGTATTTTAGCAAACTTTAAAATGATTTTTCTTTTAAATTACTTATTCAATCTATGATCCGATCACACTGTTGTATTCGTTGTAATTAAATCTTTAGAACAAGATATCGCTTGATTATATTTTGATAAAAGAAAAACATGTGTTTCAATCCGTTAATACTCGTTGTTTCATGTGTGACAGCGACATGTTTCAATGTGTATCTTCACCATGTTTCATAAAATATTTAAATGTTTCAGTTGCTGATTTTTTTGTTTCACCATATATAACATAATGTTTCACTTATTGGTCAACTGGCAACATTTAACCGTCCAATGTTTTGGGGCATCGGACATCCAAAACATCATAAAATAACCTAGTGAAACATCATGAAATACTTATTGGAATATCAAAATAATAATATGTGCAACACCAAGAAAATTAATCACTAAAAAGAATTTTTTAAAAAAGTCAATGGAATATTATCATGTACGATATTGTTATAAAGATTTAATTACAATGAATTCATTAGTGAAATTGGATCATGGGTTATGTAAATAGTTTAGCAAGAAAAATCAGTTGAAGGTAATGAGTTTCTTTTTTTCATTTCTTTCACACAGTGAAGCTGGCAGACCACTGTACTTGGCCCGCGAGTGTCCGATGACATCATATGTACGATGGCAAGCATTTCCGTAAGTTTTCTGATGCATGGCAACTGTTTTCTATATGAGTTTTCAAAGAAAAAAGTCACCACTACAATAAAATTTCAATTTTACAACCATTTATTTCTAATCGATTTCGTCATTTGTTTCAGGATGCTGCTAAGGGCTATCTACGAATCCAATCTATATAATTCCTTGGCTTTTTGAAACTATTCTCGAATTAAGCATTTGCTACTTGACAAACCTACTTGAATGCTCTGACTTACTCCCTACGATGCTTCACATTTCCTGCTGCAGTGGAATTCCGGGATAAATTTCATAGTCAATTTGAAGAAGTGTAACACTGTAACGTATTATATTCTATATCACATCTATACTAATATAAAAAAGAGGAGTTGTACCTCCCAATCCTACCAGCCAAATCATCCCCCCATCATCTTTGTCCTCAGCCGTCCGATCTGTTGATCCAACGACTCAAAAGCGATCTGGGCGTCCACCCCTTGCGATGCAACGGTGAAATCACCGATCCCACCGTCCCCCCACCGCGCAAATCCACACCCGCACTACTGCCACCGCGCTATCTACGCCACCACGCTTTCCCCGCGCGATGACTCCGCCGCCGCGCCTCCTCGCTCCAGGCCGTCATCGTCATCGTGCGGTCCCGACCCCTTCCGCATCCCCCCATCCTGCCTCCTCCACCGCGTCGTCGTCGCGTGGTCCCGGCCGGCTGTCCACCCCGCCGTCCCAGATCCAGCCATCCCTCATACCGGACTCCCCCATCCCGACGACCCTATCCCAGCGGCGAGTCATCGTCGTCGCGCGGGAGATGACCGGTGGGGAGAGTGAAGAGGGAGAGGCGACATCAAGGAAGAAGATGGCAACCCTCCCTCCGCCACGCTAGCTCTCCAATCCCCCTTCTCAGTCGAGCCCCGCATCGTCACCTTCCCCCGCCGATGCCACCACATCGAGGCACCTCGCGCATGGAGCTCGGTCACATCGTCACCTCCGCCACATCACCATCGCAGCGTTCACTCTTTCCCCGAAGCCGGACGCAATGGCCGGTCCCTCGCTAAGGCACCCAGCAGATCCGGTAAGAGGATCTGGACTCTTCTGCCAACGAGGCCACTGTCTGAACCACCATCGTAGGGTATTTTTTCCGTTGCCTGACACCTTGCTTTTGCTTACTAATTGGATCTGAATGCACCACATATCTTCCCCTCCAGAAATTATTTTTTCCGGATGAAATTGATAGAATACCAATGGCTATTGCAACAAGGTAATTTTCCCTCAACCTTTAGCTTTTCAAATTAGAATCAATTTGATTACTTCTTTGTTTCTGCGCATCATTTTACCCTAAAGACTGATGCTTGCACTGATGTAGCATGTTGTCATGGGGGATGATCTAGACGTGAGGACTGGCAAGCCATCTCTTGATATATTTCTTGCTGAGATGAGGAGGTTCGAGGTATTGCCATGTAAGTGCTCTTGCCTATAATGTTCTTTAGACTATAAACACAATATTATATTTTACCTGACACAAGTGCATTGCATGTTGTTCGGGTCAATTTGGAACCAGTAATTGATTTGTATTTCAAGCTCCGTCTGCTGTAGCAGCAGTTAAAAAATGCTGGAACGTGACTTTGCTCCTCCTCCTCGCTCCTGTGTACTGCCGCCGCGCTGCTGCATCCTAGTTCTCTGTCCGCCGCGGAGTCGAGGTCCCCTTTCGCCGCCATCGCCGCTGCCGCTGCCCACACCGACCTCTTCTCCTGCCGCCGCCGGCCCCATCCGCCGCGGTCGGCACCGAGGGCGGCCCCTTCCACCGCTGCCGCCACCACCATCACCGCGGTGCACTCCACCGCTGGCGAGCCGATGTCCTCCCCATTCGCCGCCGACGAAGCCGAGGTCGTCCCTAGCCGCCGCCACTGCCGCCGCCGAACTCCACCGCTGCCACAGGTTACTGCCATACTATACTGAAAAACTGAAAAAGCATCACAAATTTTCTCCAGTGGTTGAATTATCTCCAGGCAATGTAGTTGAATGTCTCTGGTTAACCTAACTGTCACAGGTTACATTTTTACATTTTGTGACTTCCTGAAAATGTCTGCCAAACAACCGCATGTTACATTTTGTGAATTTTTCGATGACTTCGAATGTATTTCAATAGTTATAAAAATTTTTAATCGAGGATATATATATAAAAGAATGAATGTTCATCGAATTAGAGTTGATGACTTGACAAGGTTGACTTAAGTTTAACACATCCATGTATAGATCATTCTGCTTGCCACTTTGGATTGATGTCGTCTGCACTTTATACGACCTTTGGAACGATAGTATGCTTGGGAGACCAGGGAATGGTACTCATCTCTGTACTGAAACAATTTCTGTGACTGGTTTTCATTCTGTTTGGACCATACACAACCTTTTCAGTTTAAGTGGAAAGTAAATCAATTATTGTGTCAATCTTCTGGTCACCTGTGTATATCTTGAGGTTTATACATATTATAAGGTCACATGTTTATGTCTTGAGATTTATATATATTTAGGCCAATGTGTACATCTTCAGATTTGGAGTGAATAAAACTTTGCAATATCCATGTATATGCCTCTCATCAAATAAAGCTATTTGTTTTGTAAGTTACTGAATACTGATGGCACAATTTTAATTTTTACTTGGCAGGAGCTCTGCAAAGCATTTCCATTTCTCAGTGTTTCTTGTTTACCACTTTGCCACTATATAATTTTCAAGTTTCAGAAGCTTCTTGAGATATTATTGTGAGGTAATAATATGTTGCTCATGCTAGCAGCTGAGAACTCTGCCATCTGAATTAAAATTTGGTACATCTCCATCTAATCCCATGATAAATAGTGATAACCTATTTCTGAAATATTTAGATCCCACGCTTTTTTAATCTCAAATTATGAAACCCTGTATATATACATTCAAGACAATTTCCTGTCCAAGACTATGCTGCTACATGATGAAAGAAGAAAGGTTGATAGGTCTATGTCTAGCTTCTTTTGGTTATTCAACTAAGATATTAGGCAATAGTCTTATCTTATTTTTGATACAACAATAAGTGACTTCATGTTCACATTTTTTTACACTGAAATTGATTGTGCAACCTAGATTTCTTTGCAGTTTTACCGGCTTGTTCATACGATGGAGAGGATAGTGTAAGTTCAGACCCACCAAATGCGTCTTTTCCTACCTCCACCCCCAAGACAAGTTTTGTATTATCTCTTCGAGCCTTTCTGTTGTAGCAAGCTGATTCTGATTCTCGGTGAGTTCATAGATATCGAGGCATTCATTGAGTATGTTTCCTTTTGCTTCCGTTTTGGTTCAATCAATTCATACAATTGGTGCTTCGGTATACTGCTACTCATTTGGCACCCTTGTGGACATAAATTTGCTTCCTGGTTCCACATTCTTCACAAACATATGCACACAAGCTGTTTGTACAATGCTTGGCAAGATGAATCTTTGTGATTATAGTGTATTTGCTATTTGTGTTATCAACTAACTGTTGGCAGAATCGCTGGTAACTGTATTGCCATGGCCCTGCTCACCAGTAACTGTATTGCCATTCAGGTTTTAGCCCTTGGCATCTTCCAAGCCATTTTGCTTTCACATATTCAGAATTGACTGAAATTCATTTATCGTTACAACTAATGTCGGTGATCAGTTTTCCTGGAAAATATTTGTTGAAAATATATGTAACAGCACCCAAATGTATTAGGGTGTGGAAAATGCTTCAAACTAAGGCTATTCAGACCCATATTCACCTATTTACAGTGAGCATTAGGGTCATTTTATAGAAAACGTTGTCGAGGAGATCTAGAAGTTATTATAAGTTAGGTCTGCTGCTTCATTATAATAGATCATATGTGTATTTCTGAATATATCTTCTGTGGCAAGCTGCTTTGGCAATCCCAGTTGCTGTCCAGAGTAAAGATTTTCATGTGGCTTGCGCTAAAGGGCAGATGCCTCATGGCTGACAATCTACAGAAAATAGGTGGCCTCATCAGGCGAATTGCTCCCTATGCAACCTGGCATTTCGAGATGACACCCAACCTTTTGTTCAATGTGCTTTTACAAACAGGATTTGGAGATTGCTCAGGAGCTAAGTGAATGTTGGCTTTCCGCTTCCAAGTGACCTCAATGTTGACTTGGCTGATTGGCGGATGGCTTCAAGGAGAAGCTTCAGAGATTGTCTCAGAAAAGTTTTCGATACTCTCTTCTTCTTCAGAGATTGTCTCAGGAAGTTGTATGGCTGTGCAGCTCTTTGGTGACATCAAAGAAAAAATCACAATCTGGAGGGAGGCAGGCTTCATGGTAGGCGAAAAACGATTGGTATTATTCCTTTTGCAGTTTTTTCTCTCCCGCTCTTTGTAACCGGTTTCGACAGCTTCTTGTGGATGCTTAGTTTGTAACACCATCTTCTAATCTTAATGAATTTGCTCAGCCTACTCTTGGGCCAGTCTGGCTAAAATAAATGCAATCAGAGTTATACTTCATTTGTCGGAAACATAACTTGTAAAAATAAAACCAATCATTTTTATCCTAACAAAAGACTGCTCAATGCTGCAATAATTTCTGTTGAAAAAGGAAGTGGCAAAACAGCATGTCTTTTGCTACTTTGTTCTGTCTGTTTTTCTTGAAGCATTCTCTAACTTTATTGTGATCAGTCTTTTGAAAAGGCTATATTAAAGAAATTTCTTATTTTGTTTAGGTTCTTTCTATATGCAAAAATTAATAGCTCTATAAATTCAATAGCTAAAGAGAAGCAATGTTCAGAAAAGTTGAATATGCACTTGATATATATATATATATATATATATATATATATATATATATATATATATATATATATATATATATATATATATGTTTTACCTACAAATTCATTTTTATCCTCTAATATACCGAGCCAAACGATGGATGTAAATGATTAATCAAAATGTGGATGTAAATGATTTTTTATTTAGTTCGCAGAACAACGTAAATGAATGTTTTGGTAGAAAATGGCGTTTGTAAACACAGCAATTTCTATGTGATAATGTTCTTAAAATATCCCAAGTCCCCTAAATCATAGCAATCTATATTTGAGAGCTCATTAATTAACAAGAAACCGGTTGAGGTTGATGTGTTGGCTAGAAAATATATATAGCCGGCCACTAACAAATAAATGATATAATATAGTCTATTTATTTTATATTACCAAATCTAGAGGAAAATAAAGAAGATTCAATGTTTACTTGCTACAAATAAAGAAGATTCAATGTTCAATATTACGTAAGAAAAGTTCTACAAAAAAAGTCAACCTAAAATGCACTACACGTACCAAAAGAATTCAGATTGAAAACTATCAAAAGCAATTTACAATGTCAAATATAATGTAAAGAACCAATATTACTAGAAAAATATAAATTACATAAGCATTTCAATTTCTATGTTGGTTCTAAATACAATCCTCAGTGGTGTAAACTTTTAATTCAAAAAAATAAATAAGTTTATAATATGTAAATTTATAAAAATAAAAATTAAATAACTGAATTTTTTCATAAAGGTGTTGAAATAATTTCATATGAATATTTTAAATCAAATCTCTTAAAGTTGTATTCTGGAATAAAGGGTTGAATACAAGTTTCCTAAATGTGAGATTTTTTACTTTGATAAAGCCAAGTAAGTGGAGGATACTATTTGATTGTAATTCTGGATCCTTCTCTTTTAGATATCTTGGTATTTTCATTCATTATTAAAAACTACGGAATGTTGATTGGAAAGGAGTTGAAGATAGATTTGAGAAGAAAGGAAAAAACATGTCATACGGTGGGATACTAGTTATAGAATAATGTAACACTGTAAATGTAATTGGTTCAGCAAAGACCCAGATCTCAACTCATTTGTACTATATACTGATACTGACAGTAGTTCACATGATTAATGATTTATTGGTTTGTGGCCAAGTGCACTTGCCAAAGTGTTTCTAAAGTTCAAGCGTCATCAGAATGACTGCATATAGAGTTTGTAACCGATAAATCATAGTTATTATGTGGAACCGTGTGATTTGATGTTTTTGCAGCCCTTAATTTCTTTTCTTTCACTGCGAACATTTTGAGCAATTAGAACAACTTGCGTTTTCTTATTGTGAATTTTGACCCGAACGAACAGCAGGATATACTCCGTAACAACTCTAGATCCTTACATAAATAGCTTGCGTATACTTATATTGTTACAAGATAAACTCAACAATTTAATTACATACATCTTTGCTTATATTTGCACTATTGGTAGCACATTAAGAAGTATTTGTTGGAAATTTGGTCATAATTCAGCATATTTTAATCCAAAATATTAAGACAATAAATATGACATTTGCAATATGAGTAGATCTAGTAACAGTGCTAGATGTATACAACTTGAGTATGCTTAATATGAAATAAGCATCAACATTTACATAGTAACGCAATGCTGCCATTGCGAAGAGTATTAAAAAAGAAACATCTAATAGAATCGAGAGAATGAAAGTATACCCCGAAAACGTCCCACCGCTGGATATTTGAGGCAGTATTGCATCTGTTGATGTCGTTCATCTTCTTGTCTCCAATCTCCATTGACATCTTGGTGAAGGCGCCGATGCAGCAGCAGTAGCCGCGAAGAATAAGAGCAGTCGCGCTTGAAGCACTACCCAAAAATTTGATCGCCCGCCTACCCATGTAAGTTCTCAAGCGGACGGAGTTCCGGAGGCACCTGCTCGTCCCGTACACCTGTGCGTGCAGGTGAACAGAACCGGGGAAGGATTCTGCAGCTCAGGAACAGAGGAGGAGGAACTCGAAGTGCAAGAGTCGTGAAGAACTTCGTCCGTCCTTCTGCTCGCTGTGGAGTATATATATGCGAGCGCAAGAGTAACGTTCGGAGTCATCAACCGCGGTGTTTAATTTCGTAACCGACACGCTCGTTAATATGGAATCAATTCACGGCGTTTAATTCCGTAACCGACGGAATCAATTCACGACGTTTAATTCCGTAACCGACATTGATACAAAATCAATTCTCCGTGTTTATTACCGTCCGTTACAAAACGAGAGAGCGCAGCAGCAGCAGCTGTCTGCCTCACCTCGCCTCGCCCCGCCTGGTTATCCGCGCACCATCTCAACCGGTCAACAGAGACTCTCTACTAGCTCCGTATTTAAGTTGAGACCTCTTCACTTAGATTTCCAAGGTGGTATTATTACCTATAGCACTTAATGTGGGCCAATGGAATTTATTAGGATTTAATTGGGCCTAGCCCATTAATCTAACAGCATTATGATATTCCCGCAGCAACACGCGAGATATCAACTAGTTAAACTTAATGAAGTGCACCGGTCATACCATCGTATCGCCGTTGGTCATATCACTCTTTCACTATTGGTCAAACCCTCATGTTGTCTCCGATCAAACGGCCGCCTTGCCATCGGTTAGACTGTAGCCTTCCTGATTGTGCCACCTAATGCTCGCCGTTGTCGATCAATAAAAGTAGATCAACTTTATTGAATCAAGTTATGTTTATAAAGTGTGTCCAAAGACTTCTCTCTTAACTCATAAACTAGAATTGAAGTCTCAAAGCAAATCCTAACTTTGGATGCACTTAGCTGTTAATTCTATTAGAACAGAAATTCTAATCACATAGGAAACCCCTTGAACCAAGGAAATAGCATCCCTTTACAACTCCAAACTCCAAACTTGGATTTCAATCCAAATTTGACTCCGGTTTTTAAATGCGCACAACACACCATATATGCCATATGGAAACATTCAACTGCACGTGCATTGCTCTCTAACTTGAGCATCTCACGTGATTTTCTTGACTGTCTGGACCTCAGCTTTTCCCAAGCCTAATCCCGATCCATCACCTGCTATACTCTCATGACCTCAAGCAACATCTACACATGAACAACAAAAAACTCTATATTCAAATAGAAGTTCACACTAACTTGACTCACATTAGCACACAACAGTATTACATACGTATAGAAATCATCTAGAAGTCATAAATATGAAGCAATCTAGAAAATCCATGCAGACAACCCTAAACCGATTCTCTCCAGGAATTTACCGGTCTGACCGTTAGGCTGCCCAGTCAAACATCACCAACACCTACAGTCTGACCGACACCCACTGAGCACACTGTACATCATCAGAAAATACTATTCACTAGTTTTTTTTTCCAAACCACTTACCTCTGACAATTGTTCACTACATAGATTAAATCAATACCTTGATTTAACATGCACCACTACCATCCATGACCATGAGAAAAAAATATAGGATTTTAACAAGAATGTAAGTGTAAAATAGAGGAGCGCGAAACATACGGAATGACCGTTTGATTGAATCCCAGAAAAAACACATGACTTTGAAGAGACATAAAGACATAAAAGAAAGTTTCCATGTTGTTGGACCTCATGTTAAATTTCCTTCAAAAGACATAAGAGGATTTTCTTAGGATTTATTTGTATTCAATCCTTTGAACAAAGGGATATTTGTATTCAAAACTTGCATAAAATTTTCTATGTTTTTTGTGTTTATACATTTTTTATAAAACTAACACTTTGTAATTTAAATGGTATACATCACTTCTTTTGAGGTATAGCATGAAATGTTTTGGCAGGTTTCAGTTTTATTACATGGAATACCCCAACGACTACATAACTATTAGTATAATTATTTTTTTAAACATCACACAAGATAATACGACAATCTGTAGTGATAGAGCCGACTATAGTCCTGAATGGCTATAGCCAGGATAAATAAAAAGAGATAACAGCATCACGCGTCTGCAACCAGAACCTGGTACTAATGAGACAAGAACATGACATCCCAAAGAAAAAGGATATTCTAAATGATGCCTTCTAGAAGGATATGACACCGAGAGTGTCACTATGGCCCGTCTTGTGGTTCAGGACGTGGTTTTCACCTAGAGGAATCCATCAGGAGCATGAGAGATCACTCAACAAAGTCCTAAGGAAAAAAAATAGAGCCAGCAAGCATCGCGATGCTGGCCTAGAGAGGCTAGCTTTTGCCCATAATCTTCCTGCTCCCCCGTGTCGAAGTCTCATATGTTGTACATAGAACCCATCACCAACTGCACTCCTTCGACGCGCAACCACCACGCCAATGCCTTGTCTTCGGCTGGCCATCAAGTAGGTGTTGGTATTTGCTACACACACAGATAAATTCGCAAGTGCACGGATACCACTGTAGCACATCCCCTTAGAGTATTCCAAGGGTATAGAACACAATGAACGTGTGTGCATATCTATGAACAAGATTCAACCAAGGACAACAACTAAATGGTAGATTTAGGATAAAGAGGATTCCTACGGAATGCTTCGGTTACCGGCCCACCCTTGGTTTGCTAAGCTGAGTCCGGTCTTGAGCTCTGTGATGTACCCAAACGTGGAGGGATGCAAAGGACGAACATGGATGTCACCACCTGCTGCCTACCTCACTTTCCGTGGAGCACATAACAAACGAAAGTAACGTCTAACCTAGACACCACGTCTACCTTATCTATTACTACTCTAGCCTCGGCCAAGAATTTCCTTCTTTATCCAGAGTCTTATACTAGAGCACTCAATATAAACACTAAGCGATGAATCTGCACGGATTAGAATATATCTCACTTAGATAAACTAACTAAATAACATAAAGAAATCTCAAATACTTACTTTATAAAAGAAGCATCTGCTAAGGAACAAGATGGAGAAAGTGCTGACACTCCGGCACTCCTCCGAGACTCCAATGGAGAGAGTGCCGATAACTCCGGCAGTCCTTCATAACTCCCCTGGAGAGAACTCTGAACTTTAAGGTACTCGTTTCGAAGCTTTCCCTCAATATCTTCCCATATTCTAACTCTACTAGAGAGTAGTCCAAATATCAAAGTGAGTTGTACTGCACTTGAGTTGTGTGCTTTGAGAGTGAAGTGAACTCCTTTTATAGCCATCCTATGGTGGTTGTGATAGTTATCCAGGCCGGGAACCCGAGTTGTGTGCTTTGAGAGTGAAGTGAACTCCTTTTATAGCCATCCTATGGTGGTTGTGATAGTTATCTAGGCCGGGAACCCCGCATAACCGCCATTGGGCAATCATCAGGAGTGTACACGTGGAAGTAGATAGTAAGAGGAGCCAATGTCTGTTCGGTCGACGTTGTGGTTCGGCTGACCCCTTTGGAGTTCTTTGGACATTGGCTTCTAGAAAAGAAGTTGCAACTTGTTAATACAAGTATTCTATTAATCCTATTAAGCCCTGGGCTAGGATGTCACATCCTCACCCGCTTAAGAGAGATCGACGCCCCCGTCGATCAACCCAAGGCCAGGAACATCCCCTCTTGGCCTGTGTCCAGTGCCAGCGCATGTGCCATGTTGTGTGACCACTCTGCCTGCGCAACTGCGACACACGCGCCCATGAAACCGCGAGAGTCGGCTCTGATACCACTTTGTAACGTCCCGCCTTCCCCCAGGCCAGGCCCGCTTACATCTAATAGCTTTCATAGGTCATAGACTGCCCTCACAGACCAACACAGGTCTTTTTTGCACACTTTGTCCTCACTCGTGCGCACCTGGGAAGAATTTCCCGGTCGGTTACCCATCTCAAATTACTCCGGGCCAAGCACGCTTAACCTTGGAGTTCTTTGGACATTGGCTTCCGGAAAAGAAGTTGTAACTTGTTAATATGAGTATTCTATTAATCTTATTAACCCCTGGGCTGGGATGTCACAGGTCACCTCCCGGCCTCTCCTTCGGCTAGGGGGATGCCTGAAAGGCCACTAACATGTTGTACCTTGGTTGGGGCTTAATTATAGGTGGTTTTGATTGACATGTGTACCCTCCAATCTATGTAATCGCGTTCTGAGTGTCCGGAGGTGTATTTTGTCGCATGGCAGGTGGTTTTCGTCCATAGTTCACATGCATACAAACATTCACCAAGACTTATGGAAATGGTTAGTAGTAACCACTACCTCTAAGTTTGGTATTTTATTTTATATTCTTTCATTTGATTTTATGCAGGAATTGACGGTCGAATTTGGTACTTAAGGACCATCAACAGTAGGAGCTCAACATCTAGTGTGCTCCAAATTCATCCACGTAATTGGATCCAGTCTCCCCACACTAGCCAACCAATGTGGCCATTTTATAGTGGCAAGGCGCTGCCACAAGAGAACTAGCGTCAGGATTAGGACCCGACGTAGCCCTACAACGCCCACCTCACAGCACCACCACAGGCCACCAATCTGCATCGCTGCCACCTCGTCCTATTGCCTCCTGCCGCCACCAAAGCTCCGGCCAGCATGCCATGCCGTGGCATCCACGCTGTCCCTGGCCTCCTAACGGCCACCGAGTCGGCCTCCCACAGTCCTACCGCCGTCGGGCACGCCTGCTTGCGCCGCACCTCCTCGCGCCGCACAAGCCTACCATCGCTGTCAGCCACGCCTCTGCGCTAAACTAGCCCTCAGTTGGGAGTAGCCACCCTGTCAATGGGAGGATCAACTGCTCCCAACCGGCACCGCTCTGCTCCTAGCCGGCGCTATCCGCTTCCTCTCATCGCTGTCACAACCTCCACCTACCTCTCGTCGTCGACATCGCGCCCTTCCTACCCCGCCCCTCCACCTCATCACCGTTTCCAGTTTAGGAGCCAACCTCCCGTGTTGGGGAGGCCGGATCTGGCAGGGGACGCCAGATTCAGCGGTGTCACCTCACTGTCGTTTCCCTGGTCGACTCTGCCTCATCGTTGTCATCCTGCTCAACACCGCTCTCCTCTTCATCGCTGGCAGCCGGCCCCTCAAGGCGCCGACTCTAGCCTAGCACCGTTACGGACATTGCCGCATTGGATCTAGTTTGGGTCATGGGCTCCAACCCTCGACCTTGGGGAGAAAAGGAAGGCCCTGCCACCGCCGCCATCCTGTGGCCAGCCGGTTTCCGGCGGTCCGCTCGGGCGGTGGCGAGGCAGAGGAGGGAAGGAGGTGGGCGTGGTGGTGCGGCAGCGGACGTCACCGTCTGTGTCACCCCTGCCGTAGGAGCGACGTGGGGGCCCCTATTGATAGTCTTTCCGTCCAATGGGACATATATGGGATCAAAGCCAATAAAATAGTCCATTAGGCATTTCTAAAGTTCAGTTTATGTTATATTTTATTGGCGCACTTCTAATATAAGGGCTGCAGCAAAATGAGGCAAGGTGGTCTAAAAGTTTAGAAATTTGTAATGGGCAAGACGGTGTATAAAAAAGATACATTCAACTGTAAAAAGTAGAGTTGCAGCCATCACAAATCACTGTGGTTATGTTTTTATCTGATAATAATCGTAAATAATACGGTTCAAGTCCAACTGTATGGTGATTTATCTGGCGATGGTATTTTGGATTTGCTCGCCTCGTCTGACCGAGAGATGGCAACGGGGAATTCACCATCAGGGGTCACATTTGCGTCCCCGTTCCCGTGATATTAAAATTTCACCGTCCCCGTCCCCACCAATCACCATGGGGCAACATTTCACCCACCCCTGTCACCACGCGGTGAATTAATCCCCGTGGTTACCCCCGTAGGGAGAATCAGAGAAGGGATAGCGGACGGCGTGCGCGCCGCGAGGACAGCGGGAGGCGGCACACGCTGTGAGAGGCGGCTTAGGCCATGTTCCCATTGATCGATCGATCTCGTGGCAAGGCCGAAGCCATGGTTGGCAGATGGCTGGAGGCGGCCGGCGGTGTGACGACGACTGGAGGCCTGGGGCAGTTCATTCAGTGACACCAAATAGAAGTACAAGTAAAGTGCCAAAAGCCGTCACCCGGGCTGCCCTATGTAACCCATCCTGGACAGTGCCCACTGAATTTTTGGAGCGTTATGTCCCTTGAGCATGCATTAGGGCCTTCATAATGCAACGATGTGGCGTTCAACCCCACGCCCTCAAACCGAATATTCGACGAAACGTGGGTAATACGCGTCGCCAACTAAAGTTCACAGAGCTAAACGCAGCCACTTGGTCTTTGCTTCGCTCGAGGGGGCTCGCACCAGGGAGAACGGCTGGGTGGCAAGCGCCGTGGGCTGGGTGATTTCCTCTGTTCCTCAAAAATATTTAGACCGGCCCAAGGCCACATGCATTGTGGACATGGTATCCAATAGAGTACCTGGGCATACATGGCACTCCAGGCCCGGCTAGCCCGTGGCTTGCCCTGCTATCTCCCTTAGTGATATGGTGGTTCTGAGGTATGCAAGCATTCATGACAACTGTGGTTGCAGTTTCTTTGAAGTAAATATCGGGGGATCATTCCATTAATTATCTTAAAAAGAAGTATTCATGACAACTATCAACCTCTTGGAATACGGTTTGCTTGCCTCTGTGAGGTGATTACAGTCTTTTGGAATGAACTTGTTTGTATGAATTGTGACAGATCTGTTGCTCTTTTGAGTTTCATCGTTTTATCCACAAAGAGACCATTTTGCGCAATCCGTACGTGATCTAGTACTCAAATTAACAACTAGTAGTGCTTCGTTTGCTAAAATGACTCTAGAACATACACCATTATATATCACCAAGGTAGACCAGAAAACAAATGCAAAAAAATAAGAGAGAAAAAAAAGTGACTAAAGGGATATTTGGTACAACTCCTACTCCAAGAATGGAGCAGAACTGACTACTGAGTAGAAGTAGAATTGATGCTACATCCTTTATAGTGTAATTTTTAGTATATAGCGGACCGACAGCTCTACTCTATGTATTATCCAGGATATTACGAGTGTTCGGTACATGTCTAGCTCTATGTGATAAGAATCTCGGAGTAAGAGCTATACCAAACAGGCCCTAAATCTCATAAGTGATCCCAACCTTGAGCAGCTGGTCCTTAGGAATGGACAGCGCCTTGTGTTCCTCCCTAAGGTTTTTCCTCAAGCGAGTGTAGACGTAGTTGACGACGATCTGCTTCATCAACGACGACCCCGGCGCCGCCTCCACGTTCGCCTCCCCCATCAGGTACACCAACCCTCGCTCCGCCTCCGCGTCGATCAACCGCTTCTCCTCCGCCGCCATCTCCTCCGCCCTCCTCAGCACGCCGTCGTCATCGCCACCGCCGCCGCCGCCGCCGTCCTCCGCGCATTGGCAGGCGAAGACGGCCTCCTCGTAGACGAACACCTTGAGGCGGTCGAGGAGGAAGGCGGCGAACTCCTTGGCGCCCTCGAGCGGGTCGGTGTAGCCGTAGCGCGCCACGCAGCGGAAGATGCGGTGGCCGGCGTCGGGGCCGACCCGCTGGAAGATGAAGCGCTCCGCGGGAGCCACCCGCGGGATGGGGAGGTGCTTGATGGACATGAACACGAAGACGGCGTGCACGGAGGGGATCTTGTCCACGAGCCGCGGGAACACCGGCGGGATCCCCTGGACGAGCTCCGTGTAGAGCAGGCCGACGCCGGGGACGCGCCGCACGTCGCGCCGCGCCAGCAGCGCCGCCATCTCGTCGGGCGGCACGATGTGGTCCAGCTCGTACCAGTACCGCTTCACGTGGACGTAGTGCCACGTCGCCATGAGCGCCATGAGCACCAGCGAGAAGCAGAAGGGGAGGTACCCGCCCTCGGCAAACTTGGAGAGGATCGACGAGAGGTAGAGGAACTCAGTGAAGGTGAACACGACGTAGAACGCGGCGATGAACGGCAGCCGCACCTTCCAGATGAGCAGCATCACCACCGTCATGAGGTGGGTGGTGATGGAGAACACCATGACGACGCAGATGCCGTAGGCGTTGCCGATGTTCGCCGTGGTCTGGAACGCCACCGTGATGGCGACGCTGGCGACGCCGATGAGGAAGTTCACCTCCGGGATGTACACCTGCCCCTCGTACTTGTTCGACGTGTGCACCACCTCAACCCGCGGGAAGCAACCCAGCGGCAGCGCCTTGGACAGGATGGCGAACGCCCCCGACAGCATCGCCTGGCTCGCGATGATCGCCGCCATGATCGCCACCACGAACACCGGCCAGAACAGCGGCGCTGCACATAACATTTCAGATCAGACCACCCACCCACCAATTCACACGCATTTCCAAGTGAAATGTAACAAAAGAAAAAGAAGTTCAATTCCAAGGGACCAAAGGATACCTACTGTACCTGGGAGGGATTTGTAGAAGGTGTCGCCAACATCTTCCGGAAATTTGCGCAGGTAGGCAGCTTGACCCATGTAGCATAGCGCGACCGAGGGGAAGAGGACGCAGGTGAAGCTCAGCTGCAATTCAGAAGGAACTAACGCAATGAACAATGCAAGAATTTCAGTCGTGATGACTGACCAAATGAAGAGATTGGGATCTCATTAAGCTGGCATACTACCTGGATTGCCCTGATGTTGAAATGGCCAAGGTCAGCAAACATGGCCTCCGTGCCTGCCACATTGCACAAACATGGCCTTAGCTTGGTTTAGTAACAAGAGGTGTCTAGCTATGTCAAAGTGAGGTCACCTGTGATGCAGAGGACAGCGCCCCCAAGGGAGACCCAGGCCTCCTTGCCGTTCCTCCTGAAGTAATCGATGATGTACATGGGGTTGAAGGCCCGGAGGATGGTGATCTCGTGCACCGCGAGGTTGTACGCCCCGATGCCGGCGATGAGGACGAACCACACCGAGATGACCGGCGCGAAGGAGTAGCCCACCTTGTCGGTCCCGAACCGCTGCACCGAGAACAGCACGATCAGGATGGGTACCGAGATCCACACCACTTGCACTGTAGCAAAAACGACAATGCAAAAATAATTCAGACGCTATTGAGAACAAGCTTGACATGCAGTGACGACTTCTCTGGTGGCCAGTAGTTTGTGCGACTAGCATATTTTATTGTAAAAAATATTGATATGTCATTTAGGCCCCGTTTGACGCAGATCTAGCTCCCAGCTCCAACTTACTTGGAGCTAGAGCTATGCCAAACTGTCCAAATCCTCTATTTTAGGGAGTGGAGTTAGCAGAGCTACCCTAAAAAATGAACTACGGCGTTGGAGCTGGATTTTTGCTGCTCCACTGCTCCACTTCAACTCAAAAGACCCACTACCCTTTAATTTTTTTAATATATTTACAAAAAAATACCACTTAACTACCCAAACTCACCTCATCACCCCCTCTCTCTCTCTCTCTTCTCTCTCTCTCTCTCTCTCTCTCAACCTTTACCTCTCCCATGGGCAGGCGCGGTTGGCGGCGGGGTCAATGGCGGCACTCCGACGGGATGGCGCGTGGCCGGTGCGCGGCGGGCGGTGGCTTGGAGGCGCGTGGGTGACGCATAGCCAGCGGCGGGCAGCACGCGGCCGGCCACAGGCGGCGCGTGCGGGGATGGCGTGAGGGTAGCGGGTGGTGGGCGGCGCGCGGATGGCGCACGCAAGGACTACACGCGACCGGCGATGGGTGGCGTATGTCGAGACGTCGACCTAGGGCTTCATGAGTTGGGGATTGCATTTTTTTCCATTTTGTTCAATTTTAGATCTGGAGCTGAAAGCTAGCCAAACACTTCTCAGCTGGTCTCCAACTCCCACGGGAGCCAGCTCCCACTGGAGTGGGAATTTGGAGCCAAAACAAACGAGGCCTTAAACTATGGCTGAACTAACTAACCAATATCTTATATTATGATTAATAGTAATTCATATACTCATAAAGCAAATATGATGGATTCTTTAGCATTCTGTTAATAATGTAACAAATCAAAAGTATATAAACTTTATGGTATACTCCCTCCGTCCCAAAAAAAGACAAACCCTGGTTTCCGTGTCCAATGTTTGACCGTCCGTCTTATTTGAAAAAATTATGAAAAAAAATTAAAAAGACAAGTCAGGCATAAAATATTAATCATGTTTTATCATCTAACAACAATGAAAATACAAATTATAAAAAAAATTCATATAAGACGGACAGTCAAAGTTGGACACGGAAACCCAGAGTTTGCCTTTTTTTTTGGGACGGAGGGAGTATTAGTTTATCTTCCCTCTATCTATATCTTTAGACTTTTAGTGGCATCTTCTTATTATCTCTATTATCTTCTTCCCTACATTTATTCACCTCTAGATTATTAGTGGCATCTTCTTAGTATCTCTAATAATCTTCTTCCACCTTATAAAGATAGCAATATTATATCGTATATTTATGACTGTTTATAACATGTTTTAAATAATATATTTCTAACTATGTTCACCTCATAGGACCCTAGAAAAGCCTCAAATCAAGATAAGCAAAGGCATGCACTTTTCTCTCAATATATTTATTTTTCATCTATAAATTGATTATTTCTAAATTTTACTCATACATGAAATACTCTCACAGTAATTTTTATTTTAACCAAATATTTCAAATTTCTACATGAACCCTCTCTCTTAAAATTATTTATTTTAATCTAAATTGAAAATATTAATAAATTGAATTCCTGCAAGAACTCTTTTGTCCATAATATTTATGTTTTTAATCTAAATTTAGGTATTTCTAAATTTTACTTATGAGTGGACTATCTTAATATTATTTATTTATAATCTTAATTTTAGATGTTTCTAAATTGCATTTCTACATGGACTCTTCTCTCACTCTCAGTACTAATTATATTTTAATTTTTAATCTGAATTTTGTAATCTCCCTAAATTGTATTTCTTCATGGACTCTTATCTTAATATTAATTATTTTTCAATTTTATTCCAAATTTTGGATTTCCCTCAATTGTATTTGTACATGGATTCTTTTTTTCATATTTTTATTCTTTATTCCAAATTTTTTATATTTAAAATTGTATACCTACTTGGATTTTTTATTAACTAGAAAAAAGGCCCATGCGCTGCAACGAGTGAAGGCTATTTTAATCTTATTATTATATGGTTAGTTAAGGTGAACATCATTGGAATTCGTTTGGAGATATATATATATGTATATATATATATATATATATATATATATATATATATGTATATATGTATATATATATATATATGTATATATATATATATATATATATATATATATATATATATATATATATAGAAAATCATGAGCTGCAGTTAGGAGTCCGATCGTCTCAAGTTAGCATGCGAGTTTTTTTTAAAGAGATTTCTTATATGACTCATTTTGTATTTCCCAAAGTGAACAAATTTAAGAACCGACTCAAAATACAAATATATATTTTCAAAAGCGAACGAACTTAAAAACCGATTCATACATAGATAATGTATCAAAGCACCAGCAAAAACATCTTTAATTTTTATAATAGTAGAGATATAGGAATTTGTAGACCATGAGAACAAACCTGGTGTTTTTTTCCCTACTATTAATACCTTTATTAAGTTGATACATGTGGCATGTTAAAACTGAAACTAATTAAGAAGTGCTTTGGTGTGCTCACATTGTGTCAGGCTTGGGGCTTTCTCCCTGATCCCACTCACTGCAGACAGCACTGCAAAGAGAACATCCATTCACAACAGATCAGTACTCTACTGTTCTCCAAATCTATATACACATATTGACAGTTTGACACATATTATCCATGTGCAGGAAACAAAAACTGATCGATCGATCGTTACCAGAAATCGCTGGCGTCAGTGTCCCATCACCCATGACCATGGAGGTGCCAAGGATCGTGATTGTGAACAGTGCGATCTTGGCTGCGTTGCTGGACTCCAGCTTCTGCTTCACCCACTCTGCCCTCCTCAGCTGCGAGCTCGGCGCCTCGATGCTGTAATTCGACACGTTGGCGTCCTCCGTCTGATCGTTCGGGATCATCCTGATCTTCGCGTGCCGCGATATCAGCGAGTAGAGCGCAAATGTTCCACCTGCAGCAGTACGCAAGTTCATGTAATGCACCAAGAACATGTACAAGAGAGATTATTGAGAACAATGGTGATGCATGGTTGCTGCATCGATCGAGATCATTGAATTTGAACAGGTTGGATTGGACGGATGGACGGACGTGTGGATGATCGGAGCTGATCCGAGCTCACCGTCGCCGTTGTCGTTGGCGTAGAGGACGATGAAGACGTACTTGACCATGGGGATGAGGATGAGGGTGTAGAGCATGAGGGAGAGGACGCCGACGAGGTCGTCCGGGTGCTTGACGCCGTCCGGGAACGTGCTGGAGTAGACGTACAGCGGCGACGTCCCGACGTCACCGTACACCACGCCGATGCTCTGGAACGCCAGCTGCAGCGTCCGCGCCCAGTTCTCCTGCATGCGCGCGCCACACCAACACACACAGGCATCAGTGTCGCTGTGCCTTGCAGGCTACGAGACGAGAGAGACGGCGATGGCGAGAGCTGAGAGGCTGACCCCGGTGCCATGGCTCTTGTCGTTGGAGACCTTCTCTGCGTCGCCGTAGAACGAGTCGTGGCGCCGGAGCCTGTCCACCTCCGGCCCGGCCGCGTCATCGTCCTCCTGGACAGACATCGTCCCCGTGTCGTCGGCTGATCGATTCACGTCACCGCCGGTCCGTCACGACCGACGAGCTTCGATCTTCCGCCGTCGGCTCGACTCGTGCCACTGCCGCCGGTCACCGGGATCGTGCCGCACCCTCGTCCAGCCACCTTGCCGCCATCCACCGCGCCGGCGCCAAAGCCGTCTCGTTGCGTCCTGACGAGGTGCTCGACCGTCAAGAGGTGGTATAGAGGAAGAAGAAAAGAGGAGCCGGAAGGTGGGCCCCACCTGTCATATAGGGGAGAGAGAGAGAGAGGAGAAAAGTTTGGTAATTTTCCACGTGGTGCCACTAATTTTATTAGAGGGAGTACTGTCTTACCTAACCAGCTAACCTATTGGAGAACAGGATATCTTAGGACATCAAATCCTATGTAGAAATCCCTAAAGAAAGTCATTTAAGGAGTGGATTTATTGGGTACTGGGTCTTGAAGGAGCGGCTGTAAACGCAAAGACAAATTCTCCTACCAGCTTCCGGAATAGTAAAATCTCTTCTCCTGCATCTTTCTCACATTGTAAACACGCAGAAACCAAACTTCTTAATTCTCTCTTTCTCACATTGTACCCTAGGGCTAATTCTGGAGGAGACGCATGCACTTCAGCTGATCATTCTGTCTCTGCCTCCGCTCTAAAAGAGACACACGGGAAACTGCAAATGCCCTGTCTGCAGCTTCAGATTTGTTGTGGTTCCTGTGATCTCGCGGCTCGTCGTCAGGAAAACATTCTTCCTGCATCAGGCCATTTTTAGCTCGTGTGCCATGTTGTACCTTCACATTGTTTCTGTTTTCACTTTTTCTTTTGTTTCGGATTGAGGGTCCGGAAACGGATCGGAATGACGTGTCTTGAGCCACCAGGGAAGCCGTATTGGCTGACAATTTGTTAGGCTGGGCTATTGTAAATCTTCAGTTCCTTTCGGGCTGGAAATTACTGCCAGCTCGGGCTGCCATGAAATTTGCACTAAGGCCCTGTTTAGTTGGTGAAATGAAATTTTTTTGGTGTCACATCGGATGTTTGACCGGATGTCGGAAGGGGTTTTCGGACACGAATGAAAAAACTAATTTTATAACTCGTCTGGAAACCGCAAAACGAATCTTTTGAGCCTAATTAATCCATCATTAGCACATGTGAGTTACTGTAGCACTTATGGCTAATCATGGACTAATTAGGCTCAAAAGATTCGTCTCGCGATTTCCTCCCTAACTGTGTAATTAATTTTTCATTTTATCTATATTTAATGCTTTATGCATGTGTCCAAAGTTTCGATGTGATGTTTTTGGGAAAAAAAATTTGAGAACTAAATAGGGCCTAAAATAAATTATAAGACGGTTGTTACGCTAAAAAGTTTACACCCTAATTTACATCGTCCATCTGTTTCACATATATCACCAATGCATGTGTCATGGGATCCATCATCGGGTATATTTTGCTATCTCTTATGGTCTTATTTTAATCCTTAATTAAATATCATATAGGTCTAGTTATGCATATATTTTTTTCATTTCAGTTATACACTATTTTGTGAAAGTGAGCAAGCTATTGATGTTGTTTTAGTTTTATCGATAAAATTGCTTATAAGACATTGGTCTATTTAGAATATCCTTGTACTAATAATTAGACAAAGTATGGTTTTATTATTCGTTTTGGAGGATTTGGTCAATATGGTTGTGAGAGATGTAGGTGCTTTAGAGAGTTCCAATATTCCGATGGACTGCTAAATAGTTATTTATACCTATGTTTATATTTAATTAAATTGCTATGTATTTTTATTGTTCGTCATATATCTAGGGAGAAAAATAATAAGGCAAAATTATTTGGTGCATCACACCTAATGGTTATCAGGTTAATAGAGACAAGTTTTTGGTAATACTAGAAAAACCGGCCGCTACTTATTGCTGTTGGGAGAAACCTTAGTATATAAAATTAATTCGGTGTCACATGTAATTAGTATTGTACTGAACTGACTACTATTCTTTTCATCTAAAAATATCAAAACGTAATACTAAAGCTCTATCCAGATTTATATTGTAATCAAAGTTATATTTGATTTAATACTATATTTTTATATTTTAGAGCGGATAAAGTGGTAGTACTGCACAGCATGTTAGACATGGCCGTGTATGATGCATGGGTGTGTCCATCATGCCTGTGTACACGTGTACGTGCATGCGCCTTTGGTTGGTACACCAGTACACAACACATAAGCTGTGTGCACTTTATTTTTCGAGTCTATGCTCATTTGTTTCACGCTTTCCGAATTACTGAACGGTATATTAACTTTATAAAAATCTCTAAAAAATGTTTAAAAAATCATATTAACCTGTTTTTCGAGTTTGTTCAGCTAGTATTAAATTAATCAAGGACTAATGAGCTAACTCTTTTTCACGTGGAGGGAATGGGTTACGAACCCTAGGTTTGAACTCACCAATAGTATGGATGTTTTAATACATGGATGAATGTAGGGGTGGTAATTGGTCTAGGCTATGGATAGTTTCACAACCCTAGCTAGTCCTCGTATATTTTTAGTTCAAAATATATTAATTCAGTCCATCCTATTTCAGACCTGCCCTCAAATTTTATAGGTTCAAGGCTTAGCTACATTACCACTCGTATGCATGTGTATCTGATAGTAAGAGGGTGGATCCACATGTTGTTTAATGGATAAAGCGACACGCCAGTTTGAGCAACGTGATGGTTCGGCCGTGGTAGGTACGAGAGTGACAGAGGCTTACTTTGGGCTCTTTTGCTAATGGTGCTGAACCAGCGTATATACGGCGGATCCAAAGATAAAATTAGTGGGGTCTTCGTGGGGACTCGAGACCCGCCGCCCCCATTGTTGATCCACCCCTGAGCATATCGCAATGGCACCACACAGTACTGTAACGATCCTGGAGCTGTTCATAGGCAGAGTATTCTGTATGGGGTCATAAGGGTAGTAGTAGGGCGTCACAGTATTTTATCGGACCTCACATGTCACATATACTAAGAACAATGTTAGCTACATGTTTCACGGTGCAGGTCACTTATAGTGGGTCCCACTAATACCGCTTTTTTACTTTTCATCTCCTCTTCTTTTCCTTTTCCCACCAGCCAAGAAAGCCTGGCATTAGGCGGTGACGGCACCGCTACTCGTCAGCGTCGAGCAGAGCGGCCCACGTGCAACGGCGCCGTTGACTTTAGCGGTTCGAGGTACTACCTCCATATTTATGTATTACGCCGTTGACTTTTTATCCAACGTTTGATCATTCGTCTTATTCAAAAAAATTTATGCAATTATCATTTATTTTATTGTGACTAGATTCATCATCAAATATTATTTAACCATGATATAAATATTTTCATATTTGCACGAAAATTTTGAATAAAACTAATGGTCAAACGTTAGTCGAAAAGTCAACGACGTCATATATTAAAATACGGAGGGAGTATATGCTAATGGAGAACTAGGAAGTTGATGTTCCCTGCTGCTATATATGCCGAACTCAGCTGATACTATTAGCGTGATAAGTGCATGTACCGCACTTGCTGGGCCTCGATTACCAGCTATGATCAAGTAGGGAAGAAAACAGTTTGGAAACGGACGGAAATTATTTTTATCGTTTTCGTTTCTATATTTTTTTTTCAAAATCGGAAACCCCATATACGAAAACGGAGCGAATACAGTAACAAATATTTATCGGAATATAAAAAGCCCTTAAACTAAACTTCTCAAATCAAGGAACAGATGTAGCTCAATATTTTTTTTCTAAAACAATAAATTGATGTTTCTATTTTTTTTATCAATAATAATAATAATACAACTAGTTGTACACTTTATTTTCTTGGGGAAAAAGAACTATATTTATCTATAACTATAACTATAAGTAGTATGACATGGACTAATAAAAATTTAAAAAATTTATTAGGCAAAAGAAAAATCTAAAGTACTGGACTAAAAAAATTATTTAATTAATCACCTCAATACATAGTATAAGTCCAAACATTTAGAGTAGATAAAGCTGAAGCTAATCAATTGTATATGAGAAATACTCTGTCTCTGATTCCGAGAAAAAAAAATTTGAATTCATTTCTGGAAAGTTTCCGACGAATAGTAGCCTTATAATATTCGTTTCCGTTTCCGAGAAAAATATTTAAATTCTTTTCCACTTCCGAAAAAATTCCGACCAACACTTTTCGTTTCCGAAAACACATCTAGAATCTGAAAACTTTCTTAACCGTTTTCATCCCTAACTGAAGCCCCAGTAAAGATACATGCTATAAAGATACATGCTACATAGTCGACTATTTTTAGTGGGTCCCAACAATATCTTCCTTCTCTCTCCTCTCTTCCTTTCCCCAATGGTGGAGGAAGCTGCGTCGCCGAGCAAAGCGGCGGTGGGGGCGACCCAAGTGGTGATAGCGTCCTTGAAAAGTGTCGGGGGCGGAGTGCCACCTCTCCTCATTGGCCCAGAAACCACAAGAGAAGATGCAAATGATGGCACCGTCAAGCTCGGCAGATCCGGCCTAGGGCTCATCAAATTTGGCCTCGAGCGGTGGCGAATGATCATCAGGGCGCTGCACGAGGACGGCAGCAGCTCAACGCCAGCGCCACTTTACCCTTCTCTTAGGCGATGACGACGACAAGAACGGAGGCGGATCGAGGCAGGTGGCGGCACCTCTCCCTCATCTCCTTCTTCACCTCTAGACGGTAACAATGAGATCCACAAGTTATGGATGGACGGAGGGCTCAAGGCGGTTGCCGTCGGGCTGCTGCTGCTGTGGATGGGTCGAGGCCGTCGCCACCCTGTTGAGCTTGTACCTCTCCTCATAGTCCACGGCCGGCGCAACATCGATGTTGCCGGCGCGGCCCAAGTGCTCCACGAGGATGGCACCTCATCGCCCTCCTCTCCTAGCCGATGAGCTCCACTAGTAGAGAAACCATCTTTGCCCGGTCAACCAAAAACCACAATAGTCTCGGTTGTAGTAAAAACCGGGACTAAAGATGGTTTTTAATCCCGGTTTATAAGTAGAACAGGACTACGTGATCTTTAGTCCCGGTTGGTGTTACCAACCGCATGCTGTCAGGTGTTGTCAGGCCCCTCCAGGATCTTTAGTCCCGGTTGGTGTTACGAACCGGGATTAAAGATCCTTTAATCCCGGTTCGTAACACCAACCGGGACTAAAGATCACGTGATCTTTAGTCCCGGTTGATGTAACGAACCGGAATTAAAGATCAAAACGCACTATATAATCCC